GTGAGTTCTGCAGACCCTTCCATTCCATCGATAGGCAGACCTTTGTTTTCAGAAAGCATCACACAACTTCAATGTTACAGAAAGAGCCCATGGCATCTGGAAGACCACCAGATGTTTTGCGCCAGGCGTTTTCACAGGCAGTGCTGCATTTCAGCGATCGGGAGTCTGTCTGGAGAGCCACAGCTTCCTCGTCCGTCTTCTACAGTGGTACCTTGGTTCTCAAACTTAATCCGTTTCGGAAGTCTCTTCCAAAACCAAAGCATTCCAAAACCAAAGCATTCCAAAACCAAAGCACGCTTTCCCATAGAAAGCAATGCAAAACAGATTAATCTGTTCCGGACTTTTAAAAACAACCCCTAATACAGCAATTTAACGTGGATTTTACTCTCTAACGAGACCATTGATCCATAAAGGGAAAGCAATAAACAATGTACTGCAGTCACACAGTCAACCAATCAGTAGCTGAACTGGGTTCCACACAGTCACGAAAACAAAACAAAAAGAGCTGCAAAAACAAAAATGCAAAAAAGATAGCAAAAACAGACAGACCTCAGCATAACACTCAAAACGGAAGTATGGCACTCAAATCTGAAGCGTAACACTCAAAACGGCTTCTGAAGAAAGTTCGCAAACTGGAACACTTACTTCCAGGTTTGCAGTGTTTGGGTTCCAAGGTGTTTGAGTACCAAGGTGTTTGAGAACCAAGGTACCACTGTATAGTGATACCTCGGGTTAAGAACTTAATTCGTTCCGGAGGTCCGTTTTTAACTTGAAACTGTTCTTAACCTGAAGCACCACTTTAGCTAATGGGGCTTCCTGCTGCCGCCGGAGCCCGATTTCTGTTCTTATCCTGAAGCAAAGTTCTTAACCTGAGGTAATATTTCTGGGTTAGCAGAGTCTGTAACCTGAAGCGGATGTAACCTGAAGCGGATGTAACCCGAGGTACCACTGTATTTTAATCCAGTGCTACATTACCTTCAGCACAATCTTCTGGGGGCCGCATGCGAGGGATGAGCAGGGCCAGAAGCAAAAGTGGGAGGGGCAATGAATGTAAATTTTACCTTTGTACAGCAGAGTCATTTCTCCCCAGACCCCTCTCAATCCTTTCCGATCACATTTACGGCAACCAGCCAGACCTTCATGGATGGAACCCGATTCTCAAAGCGTCCCAAGGAAAATGTAATCAGGCGCACTGCTGCCCCTGAAAAATGAATAAAGTTGCCTCCATCCATCTGGCAAGGCCCCTGTTAAGTTGTGGGTCAACATATCGGACGACACAGCGATTCTTCAGACAGCTCTTGTTTATTCACAGGCCCAGAACAGAATTGGGCTGAAGGGTTCAGCCAGCCTGCTTATATAGAGCTCAACTACAAAATAACAGTAACAACTTTCTGTAACTATCCAATCACTGAATGTCACTTTCAATTCCTTATTTGCATATGGGACCTGAGTGAAAACTATCTACAGAATCCCCCTGCTGGCCCAGGGTGAGAACTTCAGTACATAACAGCCCCTGAGCTTTTGGCAAAACTCTCTACAGGCATAAAATTCAACAGGTGAAGCCTGCCCCCCCTGCAGGAAAGACGAAAGCTTCACCTGCTGAATTTCAACCTGCCGCACAGCCATTCAAAGTACAGGAAGAAATCTATCAGCATAATCCACCCCAGTTGGCTAGGAGGTAGATAACTGAAACAGCAGGATCCTTTCCAAAAGCTAGTTTCAGTATTAAATATACACATATTTTTGTTAAGGAGCCCCTGCAAGTATATGCTCTCCCTTTGTGATAAGGGCATTGATCCCATCAGAGGACAATAGCAGGGAATAAATATACTGCATCTCCTTTTCCCCTGCCCCAATGCCTTCAACGGTTATTTGAGCTGACAGGCAGAAAGGCAACAGATATAGCTTTTCAACTTACCTGTTGAATTCCGGCCTGCAGATATTCACAGCATAGCACTAAGAAGGGAATTGCTGGCTTATGCACTTGAAGCGTGGCTCGCTGCTGTTTGAGTAAGGCTAAAACAATGCTCTGATGATTCTGGGTTTGCAGACAACTTGGCACAACTTGGTTCTCCAGGGTGATCTAAGACAAATTTGCAGGCTCTGGGAACTGCCCGGATCTCGCATTAAATGATAATCTCTCTTGTTAGTGCCACAGAAGGCACTCGGAGGATAACAAACCAATGCAGAGAGGAGGAAGGGAAAAGATTCATGGACAGAGGATAATAATAACTGGCAACGGTTGCTTATTAAAACACCCAATACATTGCAGGTGTTTCTGGTCAGGTGATTTTTCACAGCTGGGGCTGCCGTGACTTTAGTTGAGGCCCCTCTCCCGGAGTTCACTGCCAGAAAAAAAGCAAAAGAGAATAGGTCCTGCCACCTTTTGGCTGAGAGAAACTTAAAAGTGTTTTCTTTCTCTCCTGAACTTTGTTTTATTTGTTTTACTTAATTTAAAGGAGAAAGTTTGACAAGGGGTGGGGAAGTCTGTGCTATTTTAGGTATGAAGTTAAAGAGAACCAAAGCTCTCTCCCATACGTAATCTTTCCTGTTGTGAACTGAAAGGTTTGTGTTATAATTTCTTTTTCTGGTCTGGATTATGGTATAAGGAAGTTACATTGGTTGGGCCACCAAACTTATTTGAGATTTAGTTTTATTGCTCTTAAAGCATCTTAACATTGTTGCAAGCATGTTCTCTGAATTACCCCCCCCCTTTTTTTTTTTAAAAAATATATATTCTGACTGCCCTAATTTAGCCAAGAGAGACCGTGATTTATTTTGGTCTGATAAATCACCCTCTCTAGTTGGCTTTGTCTTTGGAAGATTCCTTGTTAAAATATTTATTGCTGTGTGTTAGTTGAGAAAGCTGTTCTTATCTCTTGTAGTTACTTATTGAGAATAAATGTAAGACTAGGATGGGAGAGATTTTAGGTTCAGCCATGAAGCTTGTTGATGACCTTGGGGGGCTGACCTACCTCACAGGGTTGTTAGAATTAAAAGAGGGGGTGAAGCTTCTTGCACTATGTTGAGTTCTTTGCAGTGAAAGCAGGGTGTAAATAATTTCTTAAAGTAGAAAGACGCAGAGTAGGTTTTGCTACAAATACTTTGGATGCCTTGATTTTTAAGTAAATAGAGATTTTTGACTATTGGTTTCCAGTGTAAATGAAAGGCCTTTCTAAAACGATTTTCTTTATATCAAAATGATATGTTTTAAAACAAATTAATAATATATTATTAAAACGTATATTCCATCTCTGGCAGTAAAATTACTGTATAGTGCAGGGTCTCCCAAACTTGGGTCTTCACCTGTTTTTTTGGACTACAATTTCCATCATCCCTGACCACTGCTAGCTAGGTATGATGGGAGTCGTAGTCCAAAAAATAGCTAGAGACCCAAGTTTGGGAAACCCTGGTCTAGTAGGATGAAGACTGCTTCTTTCTGATGTATGTAGGAAATGTAAATGTAAGGAGACTGAGAGGAACACTGGCTTTGGTCAGAACAGACTCCTTGTCCATTTGCCCCCATATGGGCAACTCTGATTGGCAGTGGCTCTCCAAGGTAGGAAGCAATTAATGGATGAAATAAATAACAATAAATTAAACCAGTGTTCTCCCGCTTGGACTACTGCAACGCGCTCTACGTGGAGCTACCTTTGAAGGTGACTTGGAAACTGCAATTAATCCAGAATGCGGCAGCTAGACTGGTGACTGGGAGTGGCCGCCAGGACTACATAACACAGGTTCTGAGAGATCTGCATTGGCTCCCAGTACGTTTCCGAGCACAATTCAAAGTGCTGGTGTTGACCTTTAAAGCCCTAAATGGCCTCGGCCCAGTATACCTGAAGGAGCGTCTCCACCCCCATCGTTCTGCCCGGACGCTGAGGTCCAGCGCTGAGGGCCTTCTGGCGGTTCCCTCATTGCAAGAAGTGAGGCTACAGGGAACCAGGCAGAGGGCCTTCTCGGTACTGGCGCCCGCCCTGTGGAACGCCCTCCCATCAGACGTCAAAGCAATAAACAACTATTTTACTTTTAAAAGACAACTGAAGGCAGCCCTCTTTAGGGAAGTTTTTAATGTCTGATGCTGTACTGTTTTTAATATTCAGTTGGAAGCTGCCCAGAGTGGCTGGGGAAACCCAGCCAGATGGGCGGGGTATAAATAATAAATTATTATTATTATTATTATTATTATTATTATTTTATTTAATCAGTGATATTGATTCCTCTTTTGATGCTGTTTGTACCTAGAAAAAGCTTCCAGGTGTAAGTCCTGTAGTTTCCTGCAGAAATCCTGTAACTTTTTATACCACAAACGTTCTGGGATGGGAGGGAATTATCCTGTTTTTGGTTGTGCTATACAGCCATACCTTGGGTTGAAGTCGCTTCACGTTAAGCCTTCTTGGGTTGTGCTCCGTGGCAGCCCAGAAGTAACGGAGCGTGTTACTTTTGGCTTTCACCGCTCGTGTATGCGCAGATGCTCAAAATGGCATCACGCGCATGCGTGGAAGCGGCGAATTGCGACCCGTGCACACGGGTTGCATTCGCTTCAGGATGCGAACGGGGCTCTGGAACGGTTCCTGTCCGCATCCAGAGGTACCACTGTAGTGCGAGAGTGCTGCTCCAGACAGCAATAATGTGATAACGTTGGAGAAGAATCACAGAACAATTAGCAAAATGGCGTGTGGACAGCTCGTTATAAACCCACAGCCAATGAAGTCAGATTGTGTGAATGACATGTTGCAGAATGTATACACACTCCCCCCCCAAAAAAAAATTGATTGAAGGGGCCCTCTTTTTTTGAAAGAATTTATGTGGGTCTACAGTGGTACCTCGGGTTAAGAACTTAAGTCTGTAAGCTGAAGTGTCTGTAAGCTGAAGTGTCTGTAATCCGAGGTATCACTGTACTTGACTCTAATATCAGAGCAATAAATTGCATTGAAAGATGAAACCAATTGTTTTGCAGTTCCCTTTTGTTAAAGAAACAGCTGAAAAGAAGGGGAGAAATGTCCTCCGGAAGCAGTCGCGACAAGCGCCACCATCACCCCGTCGACAGCCTTTGCCGGAAGCTCCAGAACATCAACATGAAGGACCAGGCCTCCAATCCTGCCCTGCAGATCCCAAAATTCCAGTCCAAGAACTTTGACAGCCCACAGGGCAATGTGAAGAAGAACTTGGAGGAGATCTTGAAGAAAAGGACCCTGAAAGCGAGTGACAGCAATGCACAAGGCTACGACAACCTGCTGAGTCCCTTCAGCGATAATGTCTTCTCCCCGAGTCGGCAAGCGGCATCACCGAGTCACCGGCGCCTCTCGGACATCCGCTCAGAGTCTGTTTCAGGTAGTAGAAACAGAGAGAGAGCCAACAAGTCATGGCTCTTTCTAAGCCAAGGAGGAGGTTCTCCATGCTTTTCCAAACACAGGGAATCTTCCGCCAGTCAGCTGCCTGGTTCCCCCAGTGCAGAGCAGAAGGCTGCACCTTCTCAGGAATGTGGCTACATCACCTCAAGCCCGAATTTGTCTAACCGGGAATTTAACTCTCCTGTCAGCAAGAGACTCTCTTTGGGTAAGGAAAGGGCAAAAGGCCTGGTTCTTTCTAAATACCGTATTTTTCGCCCCATAGGACACACCGGCCCATAGGACGCACCTAGTTTTTTTGGGGGGGGAATAAAGAAAAAAAAATTATTTCTTCCCCCCAGGTGCAGGGCTGGGGCGGGGGAAGCCTGAGCTTCCCCCGACCCCAGCCCCCAGAACAGGCTGCTATCCGCAAGCCGTGGGAGAGCTGCGCGAAGTCGCGCAGCTGTCCCACGGCTAGTGGAGGACTGCGCGAAACCCGAAGCTTGGGGCATGCTGAGCTCAGCGCGCCCCAAGCTTCTGGGTGTCGGCAAGCTCTCCGCTAGCCGTGGGAGAGCTGCGTCTCCCACGGCTAGCGGATAGCTTCCTGAAGCCTGGAGAGCGAGAGGGGTCGGTGCGCACAGACCCCCCTCGCTTTCCAGGCTTCAGCGAAAGCCTGTATTCGCCCCATAGGACGCACACACATTTCCCCTTCATTTTTGGAGGGGGAAAAGTGCGTCCTATAGGGCGAAAAATACGGTAAATTGGGGGATGCTTGCTCCTGTCAAAGACTTTGGCACAAAGTGCAAACTTGCAGAAAGAATGGCAAAAATGTAAATGCTTCAGAATCTTAGTTGCTAGGGGTCGTGAGTTAGGTTGCACAGCCTGGGAGCCATTTTGGACTCACATCTGTCCATGTGGGCGCAGGTTAATTCTGTGTCCAGGGCAGCTGTTTACCAGCTCCAACTGGTAAGCCGGCTAAGCCCCTATCTGCCTGTGCATTGTCTCGCCAGAAGGGATGCGGGTGGCACTGTCGTCTAAACCAGTGTTCCCCAACCTTGGGCCTCCAGCTGTTTTTGGACTACAACTCCCATCATCCCTCGCTAGCAAGACCAGTGGTCAAGGATGATGGGAATTGTAGGGGAACACTGGTCTAAACCTCTGAGCCTATTGGACTTGCTGATCAGAAGGTTGGTGGTTCAAATCCCCACGACGGGGTGAGCTCCTGTCATTCTGTCCCAGCTCCTGCCAACCTAGCAGTTAGAAAGCACACCAGTGCAAGTAGATGAATAGGTACCACTGTGGCAGGAAGGTAAACTGTGTTTCCATGCATCACGGTGTTCAGTTTAGTCAGAAGCAGTTTAGTCATGCTGGCCACATGACCTGGAAAACTGTCTGTGGACAAACGCTGGCTCCCTCGACCTGAAAGTGAGATGAGTGCCGCATCTCATAGTCGCCTTTAACTGGGCTTAACCATCCAGGGGTCCTTTACCTGTTTCAGCAGAGTGGTACATGTTCTGGTTACTGCGATGCGCTCTACATGGGGCTACCTTTGAAGGTGACTCTGAAACCACAACTAATCCAGAATGTAGCAGCTAAACTAGTGACTGAGAGTGGCCACTGGGACCATAGAACACTGGTCCTAAAAGAACTACATTGGTTCTAGTACGTTTCCAGGCGTAATTCAAAGTGTTGGTGCTGGCCTTTAAAGGCCTAAATGTCCTCAGCCCTGTATAATCAGTTCTGGCACCTCTCAGGTGTGTGCCATTGCCATTATAAGAGAACAAAGGAGGTGTTCATGGTAAGTTCTGGCACCTTCTTTTCTAGAAAATAGCACTGAGTGTCTCCACCCCCAATCTTTCAGCCTGGACACTGAGGTCCAGCGCCGAGGGCCTTCTGGCAGTTCCCTCATTGAGAGAAGTGAGCTTACAGGGGACCAGGCAGAGGGCCTTCTCGGTAGTGGCACCCGCCCTGTGGAATGCCCACCCATCAGATGTCAAGGAAATAAACAACTATCTGAATTTTAGAAGACATCTGAAGTTTTGTAATGTTTGCTGTTTTATTGTGTTTTTAATATTCTGTTGGGAGCCACCCCGGGTGGCTGGCGCAGTTAGTCAGATGGGTGACATATAAATAATAAAATTATTGTTTATTGATCCAGCAGAGTTCATCTTATGGTCTTATGTAAGAGAGTAGCTAGTATTTAAACATCTAGTGCTTTTTAAAAGTATCCCTAAGAGCTGAACTTAAAAAAAAGCAACATTGCCTTCAAATGCAATTCAACGAATCTAAAACTCTTGTTGGATTTTTGACGCAGCTTTTATTGCGGGTCTAGAACAAACCGTGTACAGAACTTGTAGCCCTGCTGCAGGCTCCCTGGTAATCGAGACTCGTAATACTGCATGGAAAACAAATCTCCTGTCAGTGCCCTTTCCCTTTGTAGGATGGAGACTGTCAGCAGAGAACAAAGATGACGAAAGCGCTGAAGTAAGCCTGATCTGTGAGGAAGACCTTTTGACTACTATGTTCTCTGCTTGCGACATAGAAAGGAGAGGTAAAAAAACACCAGCACCAAAAACCTTCTCTTGCAACTGTTGGAAGCTTACAGGTGTATTTGTTTATTTGTTAATTTGCTCCATAAAATAGTGTTGAGCATGCCCAAATTCTCTGAGCCTCAAGTGCTCCAGGGGTCCAGTGTGCTTGGAATGTGGTCACTGGGGACCTGTATGGCATTTTTTGGATAATACTGTTATATACACATCCATATTAGGGCAGTGCCATTTTTTCATGGGGCCAGCCAAGAATTTCAGCCCCCACTGGTAACTGACCATGTCTCCTGGGGAGGCCCACTTCTCCCCTGGTAGATGTCGACCTAGATCAAGGTATGTTGACCTGGAAATATTTCTGCTTATGAAACAAGACCTGCGGACCCCTGGTGCTTTGACTATGGGCTCATCCATGTTGCAGGTATTAATATTGCACAGTTTGAAGAGACTGGAAGTAAAAGAACTGACTCCTTTTGGAAACGAAGCATTGCCTAGGCTCTTAAAAACATTATTCGAACATTTGCTGGCAGAATTTTCAAAACAAAATTAAAACATCAAATGTACACCCAAAACATCCATGCAATGTCTTGTGCTGTCTGGCACAAGCTCGGTAAAATATGAAATAATTCTAACAGATCTAGAACCGGTGGTCTGTCTCTTCCCACAGCATCCATTTTAGCTTGGAACTGTTTTCTCTCTCTATCAGGGAGTCTTTTACATGTCCTTACTTCACAGTGCCTTGAGACAAAAGACACAAAGGCAACTCCCTTCAGAATGGAGATTTGCAACTCAGTGCCTTCATCACATGATCTAAGGTTACAACAGTAGGGGAGCAGAAAGGTAATCATTAACCCATTTAGGAGCTTAGAGTCCCTTAGAAAAACTACTGTGGAAAAACTCCAATGTTAGTAATGCGCATTTAGCCATTTTCTATTTTAAATCTTCATTAATGCACATACTTTGTTCATTTCTGTGTGAATTAAATCAATTATACTTAACAGCCCACACTTCTGCTTGTCCCGTACCTAGAAAGCATGAGTCTCAGAACATTCCCACTTGCTTTTTACCCCTAATCGGAACGAACAGCAATCCATGGGAAACCCGGTTGCCATTTGTTCTGAGTCAGCGGTAAAGAGCGAGTTTTTCCAGGGGGGAGCAGCTGAGAAAAGGGAGGTGTGGCCAAGCTCTCAGTGTTCGTTGTTACTGTTGTCTTTAGGCAAAGTGGCTGTTTCCAAATTAGTTGACTTTGTGAGATATACAACTAGCCGGAGTTCTGAGGACAGCAGTCTCGAGGAGCTGTGCAACATGCTTGATCCTGATCAAAGGGACATCTCCATGGACTTGGAAACGTATCATGCCATCATGAAGGAATGGATTGACGACTGCAGGAGAAGCTGGTAACTGACGGGTCTTGCAAGGCTTCTTGGGTTGCATGCATTTAATGCACATGCCTTTGCCCAAAGTACCCATGGTCTACGACTCAGAGCTAAAATTCCCAGAACCATTAGTAATATACAGGACTCTTTGGGGGAAGTAAATGCACTTTTTCATTATTTGGTTCAATATTTGGTTTGATATGGGTAGGTGTTTTTCAGAATGAGAGCAAAAGCATCAAGCGATACTGAAGTGGTCCTAACTGTGACCCTAAATCGCTGTTCAAACAGGGTGCTGGAGAAGGCACTTTCATTATTATATTTGGGAATGATTCCTGTTGTTATGTGGCTGCATTGCATTATACTTTCTGGATGTCCCATGATCATATTATAAAGAAGTTTTGTTCTGTGTTATAAATCAAGCACTGCTATAAGTTGGTGCCTCCCCCCCGCCCATGTATTTTTTATCAATAACAAAAAATTTGGTGGGGCACCAGCAAATTTTCACTCTGAAAGTGTAGCTCAGAGGAAAAAGCTTGAGAACCACTGTGCTAAATTTTGCTAGGCTTGCTTCATGGGCTGGACCGCCCAAAGATTCTCCCCTTTATGTGATATGTGTGTGAGAGAGAGCGCAATTACGAGAACAGAAAATGTACGAGTAGGGGAAGGAAGCTGTTTGCTAGCTGAAGTGTTCAGTACAGTGGTACCTTGGTTCTCAAACGCCTTGGTACTCAAACAACTTGGAACCCAAACACTGCAAACCCGGAAGTAAGTGTTCCGGTTTGCAAACCTTTTCGGAAGCTGAACGTGCTCCGTTTTGAGTGCCACACTTCCATTTTGAGTGTTACGCTGGGGCCTGCCTATTTTTGCTATTTATTTTGCGTTTTTGTTGTTGCAGCTCATTTTGTTTTCTTTTTGTGACTGTGTGGAACCCAGTTCAGCTACTGATTGACTGATTGTGTGACTGCAGTACATTGTTTATTGCTTTCACTTTATGGATCAATGGTCTAATTAGATAGTTGAATTCATGTTAAATTGCTGTTTTAGGAGTTGTTTTTAAAGTCTGGAACGGATTAATCCATTTTGCATTACTTTCTATGGGAAAGCGCGCCTTGGTTTTGGAACGCTTTGGTTTTGGAACAGACTTCTGGAACAGATTAAGTTTGAGAACCAAGGTACCACTGTACTAAGTTGCTGTCCGCAATTTTGGATTACTGGAGTGGGAGGCTGCTGCATCATCACAATTATCCCATGTGGCTCATATTTTATCAAGGATGTGACAGGCAAAATGTAACACTGAGTTGGTTTTGTGCTTATGCGAGAATTTATCCAGAGCTGCTGTCGCAGTAAACTAGTGACCTCTTCTGTGTAGTGAAATGCAGAGCTGCTCGTAAGTATCATCTGCTTCCAGCTTTTATAATTAAACTAATGGTTTAAGGAGGAATGAAGCCTCCCACCCCCTCAAAAAAGAACCACTTTGTGATTATTTTGTTCCTTTTTTGAAACCCGTTTGTCATTAATGTTCTCATGTGATGCTACAGAATTAAGACTGTTTTTTGCAAACAGTTTTTTTGGGGGGGGGGGACAAACAGAAGGGGAAATGTTTTCCAACACTGAAATAATTCTGCAAAAAAAAAAAAGTTCATAGTTCTGATGAAAACTGTTTTTGGTTAAAACTCTAAATTCATGTTAAAACAGGAAATAAATATGTGGGGTTTTTTTCTCATTCCAGGAAAGAACCATCTGCTAGAGAGACAACCAGAGAAAGCATGCTGGCAGGTATCAGATGCTCTCTGTATTATGGAAGACTTAATTTACTGAAAAGTATACTAGATGCAGCATATAGCTTAAGACTCGTGTCCTGCAGCTGAAAGGGGTTTGCAAATAGCCAGTGAACATGAACATGAAATTTATTACGGTCAGAGACCAGCTTAAGAAACAGAAATGGAACTACAATCCCAATAGCAAAACCAACATTTAAAACAATATACAACAATAGATTTTAAAGTTTAAAAATGTGATAGGCATATAAACACATAAAAACTTTAAAATAGACCACCTTAGAGAAATGACCCAAAGTCGCCCGTGAATCTGGGTTTGGGAATATTCTTAACAAACTAGATTGAATTGGGGGGTGGTCTGCGCCTACAGATTTTTTTTGCTTTACCGAGAGGTCAGTAAGCCTCACCAGCAGAGGGTCAATGGTTTCTCTACGTGCCTCATCGTAAAAGGGACATCTAAAAAATATGTGTTCAGGGCTTCCTATATCCCCCAATGGACAGGCACAAATTCTCCGGTCATATGGGACTTTTTTAAAGGATCCTTCCAAGACCAGTGAGGGCAGACCTGAGCTTCTGGCAAGTATAATAGCCAGTGCATGCAGAGGATTAGTGAAGGGAATGCAAAGACAAATGTGCTTGAGGGGGATGGATGAAGGAATCTTCTCCAACCATGGGAGGGGAAGAGAATGTTCACTGTGGGTTTAAAGTGCTTGGAAAGTATAACCTGGGATATTATTGGAGGAACTGCAAGAGGTGTGGGGAAGGTCAGAAAGGGTGGAGGGAGGGTGATGTGTTGTGTGGAGATGTCAACAGAAAGTGAAAAAACCCCAAAATGCTCTGTACCAATGTTTGTCTCTTGAGCTGTAACCAGAAACCTCTTTTTTCAGCCAAAAGTCCTCTTGTGAGGCTGAATGTAACTTCCGGAAGCCTAGAGGCACTTGGTGGCGATGTGTCCAGAGGAGACTTGTGAGTCGCTTTAAAAATATTTTTACAAGCTATTTCAGATATCAATATTGCACTATTTGAAGGAATTGGATTCATAAAAAACTGAACCCTTTTGGAATAAAAAAATGTCCAGACCCATAAATATGAATCAATGCTTTGCTAACCAGAACTTCTTCAAAACAGGTACAAAACAGACAATGATACATCCAGAAAGTTGTATAAAGCATATGCATATTCAAACATAGGTTCTTCTTCTTAAATACATAACATACTTACCATCAGAGCAAAAATCAAAGCTATGTCTCTCCAATAGCCTATATTAGCCTGCGTCCAGGCTAAGCTTATGCGCTCCTCAAGAGGCATCATTATCACATTCTTTTGTTCTCTGTGGCTCCCAGAGAGAAGACTAAACAGACAACTCCCTTCAAGATGGAGATTTGCAATTGAATACCTTGATCATGTGATCTAAGGTTAAACACTCACATGTAGGAGCAGAGAACATCAGTTAATCAGAGAGCTTCAGTATGCTGCAATGGAATTTTCCAATGTTAAACCCTTCAGCGATATGCATACAGAGATTAAACAATTATACTTGCTAAATTGTCACTTTAAAACACATTTCCCAAAATAGTTCTATGCTAGGGCACTTTCTAATCTGAGAGTGCGATGCTAAATCCCTTTGTGGTCACAGAGTCCCCCTCTCTTTTCAAATATGACTATCGGACAAAATCCTCTTAAGTTTTATCAGCCTTTTGGAGCGGTCTCTGGTGTAGCCCATGAGACCTTTGTCATACACCACACGAATAATTTAGTCGTCTTCTGGGCTAGGAAGTGATGCCATGATAGGGTATTGGTGATGAACTATTCATGCCTCCCCCTTTTTAAAAACATTTATTTGCATTAGTAGGGCAGGTACCCAATCTGCAGTTTGCTGGCATTTGCAGCTGAGGGACAAGCATAGGTTGGTGGAAAGGGAAGCTTTAATGATGGAGGATTTCAAAGATATGAGAGGATTTTGGAGGAACATATGTTAACAGAGTGGAAAGCAGCCTCCTAACAGCGCTGTCCCTGCTACTGACTGGGAAGGATGAGGAAACGAGGACGTCAGCATGGTGCAAAGCCACTTCTGATTGGGTGCTCAGGCTGAGAGGGCAGCTGGCTACCCACAGCTGGTGCTGGAGATGGCAGTTCAGCTGGAAAGATGCAAAAGAAATGGGAGATGTTGGGTTTTGATCTTTGAGGGTGGCCCCTCCCATCAAAACGTGGAGAATGCAGACATGACAGCTGATCAGAGCCTTTTGTTCCTTGTGCATCCAGGGAAACCTCTGACTTGATCACTTGCGTAGCAGATCTTCAGTTCAGCAATCAGAAACTTCAAGAGGAGAACAATCAGTTGAAGGCAGCTCTGGACGCCATGGAGGAGACCAACAACAGATTAGTGGAGGACAATGTGGAGCTGAATAATCAGATAAAAAGGTGGGACACTTTGGGTTGAGTCCAACTAAACCAATGCACGAGCAGAACTGCTTCTGCAGGTGCAGCAGAACTTTCCCCACCCCTAAATCTTCTCCATTGGTTGGGGAAAACTTGGAGCAGTTGGGTGGAGAGGAGCGGTACTGGTCATCTTCTCCAATGGCCATCTGGTTGGCCATTGCAGATAAGAGGTGAGCAGGAGACGAGCTGATCTGGCCTAAGCACGTCTCCTCCTGCTCGCTTGCCACCGGCACGGATGGGCAGCTGCCGGACGATGCCTGCACAGGAGATGGGCAGACAGGCAGGCAGGGCAGCAGCAGGAGGAAGGAGTTTCTGCTAACGCTTACTCCTGAGTAAGCCTGTAGGGGATCACAGTGCAAGGAGGGAGGGAGGAAGCACGGCTAGCACTCCAAGAAAGGCTGGGACCCAGAGGAAGGCCGCAAAACAGAGGAGACCACAGAAGAGAAGATATTACTACTACTTTTTAAAAAATAACTTTTCCCCTCTTTTTTTTAAAAAAAAATATTGATTGATTGATTGATTGATACTGTCCCCAGATTCATTGAAAAAAATCTGGTAACCTTATTCCAAACCCTGGAGCCAGCACTGGTTTAGCAGCATGAGAAGCTTCGTTATACAGCGTCAGACCATTGGTCCACCTAGTTCCATATGGGCTGTGCTGATTGGAAGACGTTCTCCAGGGTTTGGGGCAGGAGTCTCTCCCAGTTCTACCCGGAGATACCAGGGACAGAACCAGAGACCTTCTGTGTGGAAAACGGGTGCCCATGCACTGAGCTGCAACCCTTTCTGCTAATGGCTGCTGTACATATTTTTATTTTGATGCCATGTCGTTGAAGCAGCAGGGACAGAGCAATCCAAATGTCTTCATTTCCTCTTGCCAGATTGGAGGCGGTCACTCAGAGTAGGAAAATCCTGCCAGTCTTTTATTATTATTATTTCTAAAATGCCCTATAACAACTGCATGTTGCTTATAACAGGCTTGGTGATTTTGGTTTTTTCAGTTTCCAGCAGTCTGTGGCTCGAGTGAAAACCTTAAAAGAGGAGCTGGAGGAAGCAAAGAATAACCTGAATACTGCAGAGGAAAAAAGGCTGAGAACAGCAGCCCAGAATAAGCAGCTAGTAGGTGGACTTGAACCATTTCAGACAGTGTTTATTGACTGAGGCTTAACAGTGCATTAAGGTAAAGGTAAAGGGACCCCTGACCATTAGGTCCAGTTGTGGCCGACTCCGGGGTTGCGGCACTCATCTCGCTTTATTGGCCAAGGGAGCTGGCGTACAGCTTCCGGGTCGTGTGGCCGGCATGACTAAGCTGCTTCTGGCAAACCAGAGCAGTGCACGGTAACGCTGTTTACCTTCCCGCCGGAGTGGTACCTATTTATCTACTTGCACTTTGACGTGCTTTCGAACTGCTAGGTTGGCAGGAGCAGGGACCGAGCAACGGGAGCTCACTCCGTCATGGGGATTTGAACCGCTGACCTTCTGATCAGCAAGTCCTGGGCTCTGTGGTTTAACCCACAGCGCCACCCGCGTCCCTAACAGTGCATTCAGTCCTTTGAAATTTGCACTTCTCCAAATTTTGCTGTGCGGTTCCCCAATCAAGTAATACATACTAAAATATAATAGCTATATAGTAATGTAAACGACATACAAATGCACATGTTAGTGAAACGACATACAAAAATGCATTATGTTAAGGGAAATGTGTATGTCTGACAAAATGCGTATGCAGTATTACAAATTGCACTAAAATGCTGATGAGCTTTCATAAGGACTTTATAAAAAAGAGAGCAAACTGATATGCAAATGTGGAAACTGAAATTGACAGTTGTCAGTCAACCCTATATATAGATCACTGTGTGACTTAAAGCTTTGTGGTGATGTATGTTGATTATAACCCAAGACATCGCCAATTTTCCATAAATTGAGGGCAGAGTTTTCCACAGGTGGGACGGGGAAAACATTCAATATTTGCATGGTAGTTGTGTCTAGTGGCCCTGAGTAACTGTGTGGGTGTGTGTATGTGTGTTGGCAGTTTCTCAAACCATCCCCCCTTTCCTTTTTACACCAGGAAAAGGAGAATCAGTCCCTCATTCTCAAGATCTCATCTCTACAAGAGGAGGTAAGTGTGAATTGCGTGCGACTTGTCTGTAGACAGTTTCATACGCTGGGGAAAGTCTTGCTGGCTAGTTTTGCTGTGCATAATAAATAGTATCTGCTTTAATCCAGAATATTAGGCACACTCTGGATTCGGATGGTCTCCGGAAGAAGATCTCAGAGCTGTCAAGAAATATGGCTGAACTCCAAGTAGGTGCTTGCAAGACTTATTTTCAGCGTGGGGAAGCAACGGTTCAATGCAGGGCTTCAAATGCCAAATATTTCTCCAGGACATCTATAAGCAAGATGGCAGGAGGTTTAGGGACTCTTTCTTCCTCAGGGATTAAGCATGTGTGTGCATGTGTGTTATAGGGTGCTGTACAGTTTTTATTTTAAGATTTGTTTTTTAAGAGATGCTTCCACTTAAATCGTCAATCAACTTACCTGCAAGCAAATGAACACTGTTTTTAAATCTGAGTTGCCAAACTGAAATAGGTCAGATTCCTAAATGTAAACCTTAAGTTTTTGCAATTTTGCACTCAAATTCCAAGGTAGAATGTCATGTAAAAACCATAATGAATTCACTGGCTTCTCTGACAACTAGAGCTGAAATCAACTTGCCCTTTAAAACTCTCCTGATGTCAGATATTCTGAGTACATGAATATTAGATTTTTCATTTTATTTTTAAATTATCTGGGAGATTTTTATCCTGACATTCTATGTAGAGTTTAAAGGACTGGCTGGAGCCTTCTAACTCCTGCTCTAACAGCTCCTCCTTATGACCTGGGAGGTTATATTTTATTTGTGGCATTTATGGCCCACCCAAAAAGGCTTGCAAAGCAGCACACAAAAATCAGTACTTAAGTCCCCTCAGGCTCCCAATTTAAAAAGACATGGAAGGTGAGACATCACATGCAAGAAAAAAGAAACAGGAGGGAGGAGGAGAAAGCAAGATCAAGCTCCAGTTCTTAAAGTTAACAGTTCTTATAACAGTGCTGTATAGTTCTCTTCTGTGTATATTCTGTGCAGTATGCAGCTAACTCCTTCTGTCAGTGCAAGGACTACCATGTGCGTAGTTGAATTTTCTCCCCCTCTTCTCTTCCTCTGCATGTCCAACCCCCAAATCTGCTCTGGAGCATTGGGATAACCCCTAGAACAGATTTAGGTGGTGCACAGGGGAAACAAGAGCAGGGACAGATCCATTGCTCAAGTGCTGATGGAACAAGTTACAGTGGTACCTTGGTTCTCAAATTTAATCAGTTCCGGAAGCCCGTTCCAAAACCAAAGCGTTCCAAAACCAGGGCACGCTTTCCTATAGAAGGTAATGCAAAACGGATTAATCCGTTCCAGATTTTTAAAAACAACCCTTAAAACAGCAATTTAACATGAATTTTACTATCGAACGAGACCATTGATCCATAAAATAAAATCAATAATCAAGGTAAAGGTAAAGGTAAAGGTACCCCTGCCCCTACGGGCCAGTCTTGACAGACTCTAGGGTTGTGCGCTCATCTCACTCTATAGGCCGGGAGCCAGCGCTGTCCGCAGACACTTCCGGGTCACGTGGCCAGCGTGACAAGCTGCAACTGGCGAGCCAGCGCACCACACGGAACGCCGTTTAACTTCCCGCTGGTAAGCGGTCCCTATTTATCTACTTGCACCTGGGGGTGCTTTCGAACTGCTAGGTTGGCAGGTGCTGGGACCGAAAGACGGGAGCGCACCCCGCCGCGGGGATTCAAACCGCCGACCATGCAATCGGCAAGTCCTAGGCGCTGAGGTTTTACCCACAGCGCCGCCCGCGTGCCAATAATCAATGTACTGTACCATAAAATAAATAAGACAGATGATGAAAATTAAAATTATTATTTTTTCTTACCTGCACTGATGATAGTCATTGTTTGGATGGGGGACTTTTATCCATTTCCGCAATCCCACAATCAGTCAATCAATCAGTAGCTAAATTGGGTTCCACACAGTCACAAAAACAAATTAACAGAAATGCATCAGAAACAAAAACGCAAAATAAATAGCAGAAACAAAAGCACCAAACTTAATCTGTTTGACTTCTGAAATGTTCGAAAACCAAGGCGTGGCTTCTGATTGGGGCAGGCGCCCCAGAAACAATAGCCGACAGCCACATCGGATGTCCGGCTTCCGAAAAACGTTCGAAAACTGGAACACTTACTTCCGGGTTTGCGGCGTTTGGGAACCAAGGCATTTGAGAACCAAGGTACCACTGTAGTTGGGTGTCTCCCTCCACTGTTTGGAAGAGCAGCAACCTCTTGTTGACATCAGTGGCGGTTCTCTCTCTCTTGCCCTTGATGAAGAGATAATTCGTCCCCTGAAGACCTTCCCCAGCCCTGAGATCAGGAGGAGCAGCAGAGCTAGTGACAAAATCCAGGGCAGGAAGACAGCACAGTTCTTCCTTCAGAGAAGCGGCTTGATGCAGAAACCCTCCTCCTGCATCAGTATCAATGGCAGTTTGTACCTTGTTGATGCTAACCTGGTTTAGGTCACTTTCAGCCACTCATTGGTGGCTCTCCTTCAGAGTGGCTGGTGCCTGGTTGAGGAAGGAAATAAGACACTTCTGCCCTTCGGAGGAGGTGGAGTTGCAGGCTTCACGCCCCCCCCCCCGCGTGATTGGGGGGATTCCCGACTGCGTCACCTCCTGGCCAGCCAATCAGCTGGCTCTGGGGGTGTGGCCTGTCTTATTTAAAGCAGAATGCAGCCGGGGATCTCCCTCTTTGCCGCTTACCAGCTGTTCCTGCTTTTCCCACCCTCCCGCCCTTTAAGGTTTTCGTTCGTTGACCTTGCTATGGACCTTGGTTGGTTGCCGTTGAGGGGCCTGGTAGGAAATTTTCCACTTGGCAAATTGGCACCAGGCACTTGGTTTTCGCCTACCTCGTAGCAAATTGTCACGACTTTCTGGGTATTGGCGGTTAGGCATTGGAAAGTTCTGTAGATGGAAAAAAGGGGAGGTAGCGCCATCACCTGCCCTGCATATTGAAGGGTAGTCCGTTAAAGGATTCGGGGGGATGGCCCTGTCTGAAGCCTAGGAAGTTTAGGGCCTAAGGCACGCCCCCTAGCGGTGACCCCAGGGGAGTTCCTAGTTGATGTGCATCAGCAGGACTCCACCTACTGGTGTTAACCCTTCCCGGACTTCTAGCAGACGGGCTGAAGTCGGATATAGTCGGTTAGGACCAATGCCTAAACCAATACTGCTCATCACCTGTAACCAATAAAGTTGTGGCCTTTTAATCTTAATAATTGGTGACTGGAGTGGCCGTCGGGACCACATAACACCGGTCCTGAGAGATCCGCATTGGCTCCCAGTACATTTCCAAGCACAATTCAAAGTGTTGGTGCTGACCTTTAAAGCCCTAAATGGCCTCGGTCCTGTATACCTGAAGGAGCGTCTCCACCCCCATCGTTCAGCCCGGACACTGAGATCCAGCGCCGAGGGCCTTCTGGCAGTTCCCTCATTGCGAGAAGTGAGGTTACAGGGAACCAGGCAGAGGGCCTTCTCAGTAGTGGCGCCCGCCCTGTGGAACGCCCTCCCACCAGATGTGAAGGAAATAAGCAGCTATCCTATCTTTAAAAGACATCTGAAGGCAGCCCTGTTTATGGACGTTTTTAATATTTAATGCTGTATTGTTTTTAACACTCGATTGGGAGCCGCCCAGAGTGGCTGGGGAAACTCAGCCAGATGGGTGGGGTATAAATAAATTATTATTATTATTATTATTATTATTATTATTATTATTTATTATCAATGCTGCCTTCCTCTTCTCCTGCAGCGTTATTAAATAATTGTGTCATTATTTCTGCCGGGGGGGGGGTCGGGAACTCCCCACACAACCTGGCTTCGCCATTTTCAGCCACTTGTTGGTGGCTCTCCTTCAGAGTGGTTGGCACCTGGTCAAGGAAGGAAACAATGGAATCATAGAATTGTAGTGTTGGAAGGGATCCCATAGGTCATCGGGATCCCCACTGCAGTGCAGGAATTGCAGCATCTGAATCTGAAGCGAGGGCCCTGAGCAGGGTTGGGGAGTGCCAAAGTGGCCAAGAAAGACATCTCTGGAAAGACCTGGAGTTTATGAGCTCTCAAGACCCTTTGCATCCCACAACCTGCAGAGTGGATTTAAAGCATCTTCTGCACTCTGAAGCAACTTCGGAAATACTTTTTTTTTTTTTAAAGGCATAAGGCAAAACAGTAATTTCAATTCCTCTCCTCCAGATACAAGTACACCTGTATGAAAAGACGGTGGAGAATAAAGAGGCCTCCATCCTCAAGGTGAGTAGCTTTTGCGGGGCTGCAGAGACAGACTTGCTAGCCAGTGTTTTGCTGGGCCGGATGCGAAAGCCATGGGAAGATTGCTTTGGCAATGAAGGTTTAAGGGTAGTGGGATTGCAGGACTGAATTTGCACATCGCACTGTAACACTGACAGCCTTTTCTCTAACGGTTTGACTTTACCCCCAAAGGCGCACTCCTCCATGGTCTCTTGAGACAGACAGATGCCAACCAATACCAACTTGAATAAAAGATTGGGGGGGGGGCAGATAAGCCCCACCCTGCCTAATTGATCACATGATGTGATAAACACACACCATTTGAATGGCAATGGCCATTAACTTTGGGGGCGCCGAGGTCCTTCAAATATTATATTGGGGGCTTGAAGAGCCCTCAGCTGCTAGGAGCTGGCTCCTATGTACACATACATGCATATTAAGCAGTTGGGTCCTTACCTTTCTCTCCCTGATCTGGCCACAGTGATTCATGCAATGGTCACCCTCAGGCTTGATTCTTGTAACTCGCTCTACACGGGGCTGCCCTTGAAGCTGACCCAGAAACTCCAGCGGGTGCAGAATGCCGCAGCAAGGCTCCTTACGGGGTCCTTGCCACGGGATCACATTCATCCAGTGCTTTACCAACTGCACTGGCTCCCGGTGGAGTACAGGGTCAGGTTTAAGGTGCTGGTTTTGACCTTTAAAGCCCTATGCTGCCTAGGACCCATGTACCTACGGGACCGCCTCTCCTGGTATGCCCCGCGGAGGACCTTAAGGTTCACAAATGACAACACTTTGGAGGTCCCAAGCCGCAAGGTGGTTAGATTGGTCTCAACTAGGGCCAGGGCCTTTTCAGTACTGGCCCCAACTTGGTGGAATGCTCTGTCACAAGAGACTAGGGCCCTGTGGGACTTGACATCTTTCCGCAGGGCCTGCAAGACAGAGCTGTTCTGCCTGGCCTTTAGTTTGGACTCAGTCTGACCCTTATGTTTTCCCTCCCCCTTATGATTTTGATCCATGGGCTACTTTTAAAATGAGGCTGCATTTTAAATTGCATTTTAACCTATATTTTAAATTGTTTTTTTCCCTATTAAGTTTTTATTGTAATTTTACTGGTGATAGCCACCCTGAGCCCGGCTCTGACCAGGGAGGGTGGAGTATAAATAAAAAATTATTATTATTATTATTATAGCAAACTCATTTTTTGAATGCCACCTTTTTCTATTTGGCCAAAACATCATCATCCATGTGCAAGGAAGGTGTATCCTTTGGCTTTGCAAGCTGCAGTAGTACAAAAAAACCCAAATCACACAATGCGGTCAGAGTATGCTTAGTGGGTACAGAATGCTGATAGTGGGAGCTGGGGGAGGAAAACGGGGGGCGGGGAGGTGGAATGGCATATCCTGAAAGTGGGTGTGACTGGTTGGAGCACGCTGCAGCATTCTTATAATAATATAATAATAATAATTTTTTATTTATACCCCGCCCATCTGGCTGGGCTTCCCCGGCCACTCTGGGCGGCTTCCAAAAGAATATTAAAATACTATAATACATCAAACATTAAAAGCTTCCCGAAACAGGGCTGCCTTCAGGTGTCTTCTAAAAGCCTGGTAGTTGTTGTTCTCTTTGACATCTGGTGGGAGGGTGTTCCACAGGGAAGGCGCCACTACCGAGAAGGCCCTCTGCCTGGTTCCCTGTAACTTGGCTTCTCGCAGTGAGGGAACCGCCAGAAGGCCCTCGGCGCTGGACCTCAGTGTCCGGGCAGAACGATGGGGGTGGAGACGCTCCTTCAGATATACTGGACCAAGGCCGTTTAGGGCTTTCAAGGTCAGCACCAACACTTTGAATTGTGCTCGGAAACGTACTGGGAGCCAATGTAGGTCTTTCAAGACCGGTGTTATGTGGTCTCTGCGGCCGCTCCCAGTCACCAGTCTAGCTGCCGCGTTCTGGATTAGTTGTAGTTTCCGGGTCACCTTCAAAGGTAGCCCCACGTAGAGCGCATTGCAGTAATCCAAGCGGGAGATAACCAGAGCATGCACCACTCTGGCGAGGCAGTCCGCAGGCAGATAGGGTCTCAGCCTGTGTACCAGATGGAGCTGGTAAACAGCTGCCCTGGACACAGATTTGACCTGTGCCTCCATGGACAGCTGTGAGTCCAAAATGACTCCCAGGCTGCGCACCTGGTCCTTCAGGGGCACAGTTACCCCATTCAGGACCAGAGAATCCTCCACACCTGCCCGCCTCCTGTCCCCCAAGAACAGTACTTCTGTCTTGTCAGGATTCAACCTCAATCTGTTAGCCGCCATCCAACCTCCAACCGCCTCCAGGCACTCACACAGGACCTTCACTGCCTTCACTGGTTCTGATTTGAAAGAGAGGTAGAGCTGGGTATCATCCGCATTCTTGTTGCAGGTCTCCCTTGTCCTTTTTCCCTAAGACCCAGTTGGCATCTTTACTTGGGCAAGCTGCGAATTAGACTGACTGTGCCCAGCACTGAGCTTTCAGAGTGGCGGAAGGGGATCTGGTTGCTGCAGGAGATTGCAAGCTCTATGTACAATCTTCCGCAGAAAGCGACGAGCCTGAAAATGCCAGGAGCGTACCATGCAAACGTCTTCCTCCCTTCCCCTCCAGAACGCTTGTTTTGCATAGCTTTGACTTGTTCCTTCTCCAGGCACCTGTAGCTGATTTGAATTATGTAAAAACACGCCATTTGGGCACATGTCCCTGCATGCCAGGGGTGTTTTAAATAATGCTGGGCATGAATTGGCCCACGTGGAGCATCTTCCAGGATTATGGAAGCGCAGGGTGAGTGTTGGCAAGCCTTTCTGCAGGTGGAAACAACTTGTTTCCTGCGTCTGAGCTTGGCTTCCTTGAGATGGAGAGCAGGGATGGAGGGATTGTGGGTGACAAGGATAAGGAAAGGGTTAAGCTCATCCCTCTCTGAAAATGCCACCCTCACCTAACCTTACATTAAGGAGCCACCACAGGTGGGCCACATGTCCGTCATGCAAAGCGAAATATACTCAGAGTCCTGTAGTGATTTCATGCTCTTTCTTGCAGCTTGTAAAACAGTGATTGAATTGCCCCCCAAACCTCAGGCTTTTATATACATTATTTACACAATGAGTCCCGTCTGATTGGCTGATTCTGCTTCCCTCCTGATTGGTCTTTTCCTGCAGGCCAATCAATTGTTGCATTCTACGATCCTACCAGCCTAACAGGCTGATTAACTTCCTCCTGGAACCTGACTGGTCTTTTCCTGCAAGCCAATCAGTTGTTGCATTCTAGGATCCTACTTGTCTATTGTTCTAGGATCCAAGCTTAGTACATAACACAAAGTGTCATTTTTAACCTAAATATTAGTAAACTGCAAGAGGCTTTGTTTCAGATATTGCAGTACAATCTGTCCTGCACTTTTCCTTTGCTTTCCTCTGAAAAACAAAGAGAGACACAAGGGTTTGAGGGTCAGGTTGGTATTCTGCAAATGAAGCCCTAAACTTGCCTGAAAAGTCTCATTCTGCAAGCACATTGGATGTATTGATGTACAGCCTCTTTACCTGGCCCTTTGAAAAATAGGCATGTAGTTCAAACTAGGGATTGAACTCCAAATGTAGAACTAAGTTCAGAGCGTGCTCACAAACCTGCAGATAGGAATCTCCCGTCTCCTGTCAACATATTCTGCATTTTTCTCTTCCTTCCTGCACCACCTAAAACTTTAAACTGGGTGCAAGCATCCAATTGCTGTCTGGACAGAATGCAGAACTTGTCCTTGTAGGCCTCATTTGGATCTCTCTCTATGTTCATTGGCAATGTCATAGAACAAGCAGGATCCCAAATGAGTGCATTCAAGGCAAAGGCACATCTTTGCCCCATGTTCTTGGCCAACCAGAATGGGCAACGCTGTGTCATCTGGACTAATCTCCTGGAAGTACTTGTATGTGGAAGCTCATCTTCAATGCAGAGGACTGAATAGCCATTTTCTGGACTCCTCTGAGCAGCAGAAAGTTTGAGCAAAAAAAGTTTCTGCAAAAAAAGACCTGGAGACTTACAGAGTCTTTATTTGGGACAGTCAGATCTCTCAATTTTAGTTTCTCATTTTTCCAGACTTGAATTCGATTTGCCAATCTCTGCATTAGTTTCTGGGGTTTTTTTTAATTTTTAAGCCTTCATGAAAATTAATCTGCAACTTCAACTTTTTCATACACATTTCTCTTAATACACACATTTTTCTACACCATTTTACCCAAGGTGCACATTTTTGCAAGCCATTTCCATCAGTTCAATGCATTTTTATGTTACTTTCACTAACACCGGCATCCCTTCACCTAACATGTAGAATTCACTGCACATTTTTTGGTTGCAAAACTGGATCGCAAAAATTGAAGACGTGTGAATTTGTTGGCAGATAGCTATGTTTTGATCCATGTATTGTTTGAGGAAGTGCAGATTAGGCCAGCTTGCATTAAAATGTGAACCAAATCTCTCTCCTCCTGCAATCCCGTATCTGTTTCCAATGTACAAACTGACCATGGGAGATCGTTGGATGCATTGCTGGCTTGTAAAGCAGCAGTTTTCCAAAGCGCTTCTTTCCTAGCCAGATGGAAAAGCCAGACTTCTAATCCAGGTCCCAGATGCATCCAAATGGCTAAATATCCTTACAGAGACAATGTGTGTGCAAAAGCTAGTACCCATCAGCCATCAAAAGCTGTTGATGCTCCTTTAAGCAAGCATTTTCCGGCTATCACTGCCTTATTAAAAAGATCAGTCCCTCATTTTTCATGGCCATGACAATTTTCTTTTAACTAGGTCAATCTGTTTGGAATGCTTTTTTTTGTATGGAGTCGGCTTCAGAAATTGTCTCAATGCCTTTAGCCTCTCTCTCTCGTTCTCTCGCTCTCTTTCTCTTTCTCTTTCTCTTTCTCTTTCTCTTTCTCTTTCTCTCTCTCTGGTCCTATACTTCTAATTCAAACACTTCCACCTGTGCAGAAGGACCTGGATATTCAGGAGCTGAAGTCTACCCTCAAGGAATACACCTCCGTAATAGAGGTACAGTTGCCATAATTTGTCTGGGAGCTGGAGACAGAAGAGGAGTCCTTTATTGGGGGGGGGGGGTGTTGCTTGAAGGTTGTGTCTTGAGAGAGCTTTGTGTTTTTCTGTAGACCCTGCGGGTGGAGAAGAACAAACTGGTGAACAACATCCAGCAAATGCAGCAGGAGTTGATTTCGTGAGTATTTTTGCACTCCAAGGGGGCGAGATTCAGCGCCCTTATAATGAGAGACGCTCTTGGAGCTTCGCAGATTTAATTCTTTGACTATCCTTCTGCTAGGAATGGCTTCAACTTCCCCTTGATATACAAATTCAACAGCAGCATCCTTGAAGGGACCAACTCTTTGCACTGCGAACTGGAGCTTGCCCAAGAGCAAGCGGAGGTGGGCGTTTTTAATTGTATTTTATCTGCTTCTCCCCCTTGGTTCCCCAGAGCCAGTTCCTCTAATGCAGGGGTTTCCAACTGGTGGACCGCGATCGACAGGTCAACCCCCAGTTGATATAAGTCGATCGCGGGCTCATTTTCCTCCGCTGGGCCTGCCCCTTGCTCCTTCCTGTATTCGTGCACGATTTCAAGAACGGAAGACGGAGTTACCGTTGGTGGGATTACTTCTCGTTTTTCAATCAATGTCATGCAATCCACCCACCCCAAAAAAATGGCAGAAGAATTTGCAATCTCCCCCCCAAAAAGGTAAACAACTGTGGCTTGCCCCCCCTGAAAAAAGCTTAATAACTTTGGCTTGCCCCCCCAAAAAGCTCAACAATTTAGGTTCCCCCCTCCCCAAAAAATGTGTAGATTGCTGCTAATTTTTTAATCTGGGAGTAGATTGCAGTCTCTTGGGAGTTGGATGTCCCTGATGTGACTGGGAAGCGAGGCAAAGACCACTACCTTGCTGTTTTCCAGACTGTCACACTTTTGCACATATCTCTGGCACATGTCTGTGCCTTTGGATAATGAGTGCACCTTTCTAAATAAGCATTTAGTTGCACATGCAGCTAATACAACTGCATCTAGCTCCCCTGCTCCCTCTCCCTTCACTGCCTCCCCCCGGTGCTGGGTTTTAGATTGGAAGCTTCTTGGGGCAGGGACCTGCCTTCACATACTCTGCAAAGTGCCAGGGACACTGGTGGTGCAGTATAAATAAATGACATCCAGCCAAACAGATGCACTTTCCCAGAACAACTTGGATCAAAGTTTTATGCCCAGGGTAGCCTCTGGCCAGTGTTGAGACTCAGGTAAGATGTGCCAAATTAAATATCCGTATCCCCTTTGCAGTTGACCGCTATTTTGTCTAGTTCCTTCTTCCTGATCTTAGCTGCCAGTGTTGAGACTTGGCAGATGGTTGAGCTTGTATCATATGGCCCCTTTCTGATTGCTTTGCTATGCAGGTCTCTGGAATCGAATGGACTGCACTGGATGAATCGCTGGACGCGGAGGTTTTGCTGCTCCTGCAAGGGCCGGAGAGAGTGGGAGAAAAATTCAAGGCCACCATTCAGAAACTGGTATGGAAAAAGACTGTGGGTGGAATAGCAAATGGAAGACTGCAAAACCATTCCAAAGCTTTTGCTCATCTCAGAACCTGAGCAAGATGCTTCTTCTCATCCTCCCTTCTGCAAATCCTTTTCTTCTTATGCCGATTCATAGCTATCCACAGTATGTTAGTGCTGAAAGAAGCATTTAGAGTGGTGCAGGAAATCTAGATTCTTCGCCACATATGTTTGCTTATAGGCTTTTGATAGGTAGGGAAATAATAGCTGCCGATATGTATGCTTATCTGTTAGCGCACTGTTTCTCAGCCTGTGGGTCCCCAGGTGTTGTTGGACTATAACTCCCATCATTCCTAGCCAGCATGACCAGCGGTCAGGGAAGATGGGAGTTGTAGTCCAACAACATCTGGGGATCCACAGGTTGAGAAACACTGGTTTAGCGGCTTAGTCCTTTTGAAACAGTCCTATTCCTTCACGGGCACTGCACAGAACTCTTTTAAAGAAGCAAATAGCCTCTCGTTGCTAAGGTTCCACATCAAAATATTCAGCTCATAGTGCTGAGGAGGAATGGAAGTTCCCCCAGAATGTCTGCTTTATATGCATTATTTACACAATGGGCCCCACGTGATTGGCTAATTCTGGGATTCACCTGTAGGCCAATCAGTCACTTCCACCTGGAGTTGGATTGGGTGGCTCCTGTGGACCAATCGGACTGCTGCATTCTGGATCCTATTCAACTCAGTACATAACAGCGTGTTACCATTTAGATGTAAAAGTTCATGGGACGTGACCTTTTTCTTTACAGAAGCAAGAACTTTCTCGAGTGGAGGAAATAGCCGTCCTGCAGGCAGAGGGCTTTGAGGCAAATATGCAAGAAGCCCATAAGAAGAAGCTCATGGTAAATGTTACTGAATGGCTAGAAAGGGTGCTTTAGTACACCTCCCTACTGTCTGAATTACAAGGGCTTGGGCAGAGCTTGCAGGGATGTGTACTGGCACAAAAATATCCCTCTTTGGGGTTTCGTAACTGCTTTCACAGGGACGCGGGTGGCGCTGTGGGTTAAACCGCAGAGCCTAGGACTTGCCGATCAGAAGGTCGGTGGTTCGAATCCCCGCGACTGGGCGAGCTCCTGTTGCTCGGTCCCTGCTCCTGTCCACCTAGCAGCTCGAAAGCACGTCAAAGTGGAAGTAGATAAATAGGTACCGTTACGGCGGGAAGGTAAACGGCATTTCCATGCGCTGCTCTGGTTCGCCAGAAGCGGCTTAGTCATGCGGGCCACATGACCCGGAAGCTGTACGCCAGCTCCCTCGGCCAATAAAGCGAGATGAGTGCCGCAACCCCAGAGTCGGCCACGACTGGACCTAATGGTCAGGGGTCCCTTTACCTTTACCTTTTAACTGCTTTCACAAGACAGTCCTTCACATTTTTAACATTCACACTCAGTTTGTTCGTATTCTTGATCTTGATTTGCGTTTCCGGAAAGGGCCTACTGTTCCGAATTCAACTGGGAGCCTGTTGCCCCCCCCCCCCGGGTGCTTGGCAGAAGGTGTGAATTTCTCTCCCCCACCTGCACATTTCAGGTTATGGCTGGGTTTTTTGGGGGGTGTTACCCCTCCATTTAAGTGAATGGAGAGCCTTGGCGCTTCTGACAGTGGCAGACTTGGGTACAGTCATACCTCATGTTACGCTTGCTTCAAGTTGCGCATTTTCAGGTTGTGTCCCGTGGCGACCCAGAAGTACCGGAAAGGGTTACTTCCGGGTTTCACTGCTTGTGCATGCGCAGAATGACGTCACACGCATGTGCAGAAGTGGCAAATAGCAACCCGTGCGTGCGCAGACGCAGGTTGCATTCTCTTCAGGTTGCGAACGGGCCTCCGGAATGGATCCCATTTGCAACCAGAGGTACCACTGTACTGTGGCACTCGTGCAAGGCCAAAAATTACCTCCCCCCCCCTGCCCCCGCTTCAGCTGCTATCCCGAAGCTGCGTAAGTGAGGCGCTGGGTTTTGGAAAGGAGGCATGAGTCTCTGACAGGGTCTAGAGCCCTCCCACCTTCACCCCAAAGCAGGGAAAGCTCTAACATGGCTTTGGGGAGGAGGTGGGAGGACTCTAGGACCCTGCCAGAGCTGAAGCGGGATGTGCCCTGATTGGCTGTGTAGTTCTGAGAGAGTTTTTCCTCTGTACATTTGGTTGAATGCTTCCCTGTCATGTATGAGGCCTCAAGTAAGAAAGACGAGACTTCTATTCCTTTCTCCTCAAACTATGTGCCATTTTTCATCCACTTGAGCATTGGAAAGTCATAACAAGATTTTGTCCTCTCTCTGGACCCTGCATTATTGAAATATATCCAAGCCGAGAGTGGATTTCATGCTCTTTATTCAGCTCATAGTGGTGAGGAGGAATGGAATTTCCCCCAGAATGACTGCTTTATGTACAGTGGTACCTCGGGATGTGAACAGGATCCGTTCTGGACGTCATTTTGAGCGTCTGTGCATGTGCGAGCAGCGAAACCTGGAAGTAACGCACTCTGTTATTTCTGGGTTGCCGCGGAGCGCAACTCGAACACGCTCAACCCGAAGCACATTCAACCCGAGGTATGACTGTACCTTATTTACACAATGGGCCCCACGTGATTGGCTAATTCCGGGATTCTCCTGTAGGCCAATCAGGTTGCGGATTCACTTCCACCTGGAGCTGGATTGGGTGGCTCCTGTGGACCAATCAGACTGCTGCATTCTGGATCCTATTGTTCTAGGACCAATCAGACTGCTGTATTCTGAATCCTATTGTTCTAGGACCAATCAGACTGTTGCATTTTGGATCCTATTCAACTCAGTACATAACAATTATTTAAGTGGCTTCGCTAACAGGATGCAAGCCAGCCTCTTCTTAAGGACCTTTGCAGCAATGCTGTACTTTTTAGGGGTGTGTGTGTGAGAGGTGACTTCATTTCCCCATCCCCCAATATAGGGACCGCAGTCTGTCTCTCCCCACCCACCGTTCCAGCAAAATAATTCCCAGTGAGCAAGTACAAAAGAGAAAGCAGAACAAAGGCATTACTTTGCAGTTATTACTACATTCAGGTTAATTTTCGTTTCTATTTATTTGATCCAAATTTAAATGGGAATGGGCCTTTTTCAGGTTAAACCAGCACACATTCATAGCTAATAGCTTGCTAAGTATTTCTTCTGAACACTCCGTATTGGGTTCTTTCTCTTGTTAAAATGTCAATGCAGGAGCTCAAGCAAGATCTGGTGAAGCAAAGAACTCTCTGGCTTCAGAGACTTGATCTCTTGGCAGCTCAGAAGGACTCATTGGACAAGGAGCTGATAAAGATGGCGGGAAACCTGAGGAGGATGAGAACTGAACAGCTGCACTTGAAGAAAGAGCTTTCATCCAGGTTATTTCCCCCCTCCCTTCTCCTTCTTTTAGGTTTTTTTTTTAAGTATGTGCGTGTTGGGGATGGGGCAGAAATTTGATTCAGATTGCAACTTTCACTTCCTGAAGCAACAGGCAAACCGAAACACACAGACGTCCTTTGAGATTTGCAATGCAGTTCTTAAACCAAAATATATGTACATCAGGGGAAAGCCGTGTGTACTGGCAAAAAGAACATAGAAAAGTGCATTATACTGGGGGAAATGGTTTGCAAGAAGAGGTGTATATAAGGCAAAATTGCATAGGAAAGTGTGTGTGTTAGAAGAAACAGAATGCTGAGAAACTTGCACATGAGTGTTTCTGGTTTTTAATTGCAAGCCTGCAAAAATGTGGCAAACTAAACTTACTACTGGAAAAATGAGAAATTGAGAGAAAACAGATTTGTTCACAGTAGTGTGTGTGTGTGTGTGTGTGTGTGTGTGTGTTTTGCTGTGAGTCCCGGGGGGGGGGGTTCAGTCTGAATGATACCCCTGGGTCCCTACCCAAGCAGTGATCCTGTATTTGTCAGGTTAGGATCTGTAGGAGGAGGCTTGCTAAATAGGTCAAGGTAAGGACCATGGCAGAGACGCGGGTGGCACTGTGGTCTAAACCACAGAGCCTAGAATTTGCTGATTGGAAGGTCAGCAGTTCGAATCCCCGCGACGGGGTGAGCTCCCGTTGTTCTGTCCTAGCTCCTGCCCACCTAGGAGTTCAAAAGCACGTCAAGTGCAAGTAGATAAATAGGTACCACTCTGGCGGGAAGGTAAATGGCGTTTCTGTGTGCTGCTCTGGTTCACCAGAAGTGGCTTGGTCATGCTGGCCACATGATCAGGAAGCTGTCTGCAGACAAACGCTGGCTCCCTCGGCCTATAAAGCGAGATGAGCGCGCAACCCCAGAGTCGTCCGCGACTGGACCTAAGAGTCAGGGGTATCTTTACCTTTACCTAATGACCATGGCAGCTCAGTTAAGTATCCAACACCTGCACCTTCAAGGCACCAGGTTGCCTCCATGATTGAAGTGGCCCAGTGCACGTTGCTCATGTGTGTCATCATGCATCACATGTGTGTGCCATCACATCCTCTGGAGGAGGATGAGTGCTCTGGCAGAGCTGGGAGCTAAAGCTGTGATGCGCTGGGCCCCCTCAACATGGAGGGAGCTGGGCTCCCTTCAAACAAACATGGAGGGAGTCAAAGACATCTCAGCCCCCTAGCTTGGTGCATTTGGTTGCCACAAAGACAATTTTTTCTCACTTCACCTGGCTGGATGCCACATCATGGAGCAATGGGTCAGCATGTCTGGCTGTTAACCAGAAGGTTGGTGGTTGGAGCCCACCCAAGAATGGCTGTAGGCAGGATTCCTGCATTGCTGGGGATTGGAATAGATGACTCTCAGGGCCCCTTCCTACTCTATGATTTTATTATCCTAGAAAGGAGAACAATAGGCCAAGCAGGGCTGGGTATGTGAGAGTTGTGTGAGAGAGAATTTCAGCTGAAGCTGGAGGAACAGAGACATGTCTTGCGTTGTGCTAGATTTAGGGCTCCCCGGAAACCTAATGGAGAAGCAAGATCTGTTGGGACGTTAATGCTTGATTTCCCCCCCCCCTTTGGAAATTGCTTGAATTCTGAAACTCTTTGCTAATCTGGCGTTTGTGCCTAAGGGATTCGACTCTGTTGAATGGGACAAATGAGTCCCTGTGTGTCATGGGCCCAATTACTTCTAAGTGGTGACAGAGAAAAGATGCCTGGTAGGAGTAAGGGAGCTAGAAGAACGTGGACCTGCACAGGTGTAGGAGATGGGCAGGTGTACCCAACAATGCTTCTAGGTTTGGACTGGCCATATACCATCAAGCAGAATTTGAAGAGGAAGCAATTACATTTCTGAGCAGTGCTGCTCTAAAATCCTCTGCGTGCCCTCAAGCTCTTCTTGCCTTATATCCCTTAGGCAGCATGAACTGGAGCTGGCCAGACGGCTGAAAGAGGACACTGTGTCAGAAGGAGGCATCTTGAGATCAGCACTGCAAGAGCTAACCCAACAACTTGAGGATGCCAGCAAGCGGGTAAGTGCAGCATGTTGTGCTGCTCTTGCTTTTAAGACTTTGCATACAGGAAGGTGGAAGAAGGACAACTTTGGAGGACAAGAGCAGGATGTGGAAGGCATTGTCTTGTTTGGAGCCTCAGAGAAGGAAGGCCTAAAACTAAGGCAGAGACAAAAGAGACCAAGCCTATTACAGAGTAGCAATTGGATTTCCATATCCTACTTTGCATGTGTGTGCAATGATTCAGCATCCCCTGTTTTGAGGTACTTATTGTGGTGTTGGTGGGACTAGAGCTACTTCCTCCTTCTCCTTTTTCTTTAAAGGCAGCTGACTCTAGTGCCCCCTGAGTGCCTCTGGGAGCATAGGAAGCTGCCTTATACAGAATCAGGCCAATGGTCTATCTAGCTCACTATTGTCTCCACTGTCTGGCATGGTCTTATGTGAGGTTCCAGGTAGGAGTCTTATTTCCCGTCCCTACCAGGATAGACCTGGGACCTTCTGCATGCAAAGCAGGTGGTCTACAACTGAGCTATGGCCCTATTCTTAAAGGCAGCAGAAGCCAGAGTTCTGCTCCTTGTGCTGAGTTTAAACTTTAAAAGGTAAAAAGGTGAAGGTAAAGGATTTCCGTACGCCCATGTACAGCCCACGTCTTCAGCGCCTGCATGGGCTGGGTGTCAGGAGCACCTTCTCTGACCTTCCGATCACAGGAACGTGTGAACAGGCAAGGTGGTGTTTTCCTATCACTGAACTACAATCCTTCCAATGAATCTGAATCCCATTGAAGATCGCCAACGTCTTGCCAAGTTTGGGCCCAGGGGTTAGGCGGGGGAGTTAATAATAATAATAATAATTTATTTATTTATTATTTATACCCCGCCCATCTGGCTGAGTTTCCCCAGCCACTCTGGGCGGCTCCCAATCAAGCTTTAAAAACAATACAGCATTAAATGTTAAAAACTTCCCCAAACAGGGCTGCCTTCAGATGTCTTTTAAAAATAGGATAGCTGCTTATTTCCTTGACATCTGATGGGAGGGCGTTCCACAGGGCAGGTGCCACTACCGAGAAGGCCCTCTGTCTGGTTCCCAGTAACCTCACTTCTCACAATGAGGGAACCGCTAGAAGGTCCTCGGCGCTGGACCTCAGCGTCCGGGCTGAACGATGGGGGTAGAGACGCTCCTTCAGGTATACAGGACCGAGACCGTTTAGGGTTTTAAAGGTCAGCACCATGCATCGCACATCACAACTTCAGTGCACATACATGTGAACTTGGAGAGCATGGGTAGGACACAACCTGCTGTTCTTTTCCCTGCTTCACACAGAATGCAGCTGCTGAGATAGTTTTGATCTGTTGATAACGGTAACGCTTCAACATGCAGTGTTGGGGAAGAGGTCTCTTGGTGATGGAATAAGAACAAGGGTTTTATTTTCATTTATGAAGTGCTAGAGGGCCTGACCTTTGCGGTTGCTGACAAGGTAGCCCTTGTAGAGTGCATCCTGTGTGTTTGGGGAAAAGCAGAACCTGTGCGTTCGCTGGAACTTGCAAAATTCTGAATGCAGAGGAAGTCTAAGCTGAGAGGAAGGGTTGGTGGCTTTTAAGCGCCTTACGCAGGAAAAAGCGACTTGACACATACGTCTGCTCAGAGAAAACCAACAGAACCTGCGAGTGTTAAAACTATATATATATGAAGCGGCAGATCAGGAGTTCATTGCTTCCGGGGAGAGCGAGCAAAGGCATTTCGGCTTTTGTTTGTGTGAGGTCTGCTGAGCAGTCTAGAAGGGAGTCCCTCCAAACTTTGCTGACTTGCTGTTGCTCCCGCAGGCTAAGGATCAGGAGAACGACCTTCACGCTGCCAGCCTGGAAGCAAGGTCTTTGCAAAGGGAGCTGGAAGAGAGCATCGCTGAGCAAACAAACCTCCGGAGTGTAAATATAAACTTAACACGCACTTGCCAGGTGCTGGAACTGAAAGCTAAAGAGCAGAGCAGTAAGTATCGCTTGAAGTTACTCTTTCCGTGACTTAAGGGCAGCTGGCATGTGTTCTTTTGCCTGCATGAAAATGGGAGTGTTCGCTTCACTCTGGGTTTTCTCCTAAAATAACCAATCTTACCGTCAAATTTTGGTGTTTTGTTTTTCATTTTGAGCCGAGAACCATATTGCAAAATTCGGAGCAGTACAAAATCTCAGAGCATCTACTTGTGCAAAGAGATGTGCTTATTAATGGGTAGAAATTATCCAGTGTCCATGCATTGGGAGCGATTTGAAGGATCCAATTGGAGCCCAATGTAGTAACAAGGCCGAACAACCTGACACTCCTTACCCAGCTGTGACCTGGAACACATCTGAGAATTTGTGCCTCAAATGCCGCTGCTTGGAGGATGCAATGTTTTTTTGATCGATCACTTTAGATACTGTCCAAGTGTATTTTTGTGCTTCAAACAACTTTTCCTCCTGCCTCCTAGGAGAACTTGGTGCAGAGTTCCTCTATCAATAATGTTAATAGAGGCATATCATTGGTGTCTATTCTGAATCTCGCTCAGAAATCAACATTTGCCTGTCCTTATGTTTTTACGTGAAAGTGGTCCCCAGGTCTGTTGTGGCTTTGCCACAGTTTCTTTAGGACTTGCAGTTATTGTTGGTGCTATATATGTATATGAATTTCTGAATACCAAGGTCCAACTTTGGGGCAAGTACTCTTTGATGAGAGAATCCCGACACAGATTTAAAGTCACAAAATATGTAGCAAAGTAAAGTGTGGAAATATAGACTGTTAGACCTTTAAAATATGCCTCTCCAAGGGAGTTCCAAAATTTCCCTCTCCGCACAACATAGGAAAAGACTACATGTTTGGTAAGTTAAAAATTGGTTTACTTACAAACTCTTCAAAGGTCGGATTCATATGCTTTTGCATACATCAGTCAGATAAGTTGCACAGGCAGTAAAACATAACTTACTTACAAAGTTCCTAGTTTATTGGTATAGGAAGTCAAGATTGACTGGTGAGAGCTAAGCTGGAGCAACCAGCTCAGACCTCTTCACATGCTGAGCTTCTAAGGTAGTCTGCACAGGGAACAATAGGCTTGATTACCTATTTCAGGCATCCCCAACCTTCAGCCCTCCAGATGTTTTGGACTACAATTCCCATCATCCCTGACCACTGGTCATGTTTGCTAGGGATCATGGGAGTTGTAAGCCAAAATATCTGGAGGGCCGCAGGTTGGGGATGCCTGACCTATTTCCCCCCAAGGTAAGGGAAGTGACATGACTAAGCCTGACAGCACAGCTTACTCTGTGGTATTAACCCCTTCATGCATTAATTAGACTTAAGAATGTTGGTTATATGTGGCTGGTTATCCCACCATTTTTGTACACATATTGGTGGACTGCTTTTATTTTGGCTAAAGAAGACAAACTCTTGTATAATTTGGATAGCTTCTGATCAATCCTTACAACGTCTTGCTTCTTAGCTGCCCTTGACTCGCTCAGGCAGAAGCATTTTGAAGGACTGTTGTGTGGAGTTCTTTGTCAGGTATTATTATTATTATTATTATTATTATTATTATTATTATTGCAAAATTAGTGAACCCAAGCAGAATTGTGACAACATCTGGGGTTTGCTGGCTACCTTAAAGGTAAAGATAAAGGGACCCTTGACCATTAGGTCCAGTCATGGCCAACTCTGGGGTTGCACCGCTCATCTCGCTTTATTGGCTGAGGGAGCTGGCATACAGCTTCCGGGTCATGTGGCCAGCATGACTAAGCCGCTTCTGGCGAACCAGAGCAGCACACGGAAATGCCATTTACCTTCCTGCTGGAGTGGTACCTATTTATCTACTTGCACTTTGAAGTGCTTTTGAACTCCTAGGTTGGCAGGAGCAGGGACCGAGGAAGGGGAGCTCACCCCGCCGTGGGGATTAAAACCGCTGACCTTCTGATCAGCAAGTCCTAGGCTCTGTGGTTTAACCCACAGCACCACCCGCATCCCTCGCTGGCTAACTTACCCATCCCAGTTTTACAGTGTTCTGCACTGCAAGCTTCCTTCCAAGACATTCTGTTTGCTTGCTGTAGTGTAGGAAGTTGCCCTGCACTTAATCGGATGGTTTGTCCCTCTAGTCTTTCCCAGAAGTCTCCTCCAGCCTTACCTGGAGATGCCAGGGTTTGAACCCAGGACCTTCTGCATACAAAACAGATTCTCTGCCATTGAGCTAGGGCAGCTCCCCAGTAGGATTTGGCATTCCCCCTTCCTCTCTTGCTCCAAGCATTGACGTGTCACCTCTAGTAGTGTATTGTCGGATAGAACATAAGCCACACCTCCAAAATGATCTCGCGTGTGATGTCAGGACCACCTGACCCAGGATACTAACACCCAGCTGAAAATTCTTTGAATTAAAACAGAGCTGTGCTTGTGATGATGAGAGTCCTTCGTCCAGCCCAAATGTAAACAAAGAGATAAGAACAGGGCAGAAGGTAAGACCTGGCAGCTCCTGGCTCTTTAACGGAGAGCGTGCATGGTGTACGAGAAGTGGAACAGGAAAAAGTAGCTTCCTCTTATTTGAAGTGCAACTTTTCACCCTTAGAAAACCCCACAGCAGAGATGATGCAATTCATGAACGTTTAGGTACATGAGCTGGGCGATATATCAGTATAGTGGTACCTCAGTTTTCGAGCATCTCAGAAGCCAAACGTTTTGGAACCTGAACGGCAAAAACTCAAAAGTAATTGCCTCCATTTTTTAACACGCCTCGGAAGTCAAACGGCTTCCGCTGCCTGTTTTTCTTTCTTTTCCATTGGCTTTCCCGACCGCCCTTTGCGCCTCGGTTGTTGAATGTTTCGGATGTCAAACGGTCTTCCGGAACAGAAGAAGAAGAAGAAGAAGAGTTTGGATTTGATATCCCGCCTTTCACTCCCTTTAAGGAGTCTCAAAGCGGCTAACATTCTCCTTTCCCTTCCTCCCCCACAACAAACACTCTGTGAGGTGAGTGGGGCTGAGAGGCTTCAGAGAAGTGTGACTAGCCCAAGGTCACCCAGCAGCTGCATGTGGAGGAGCGGAGACGCGAACCCGGTTCCCCAGATTATGAGACTACCACTCTTAACCACTACACCACACAGATTATGTTCGACAACCGAGGTACCACTCTATATCGTCCAAAACCGGTTTCAAGTTCACATTGTGATAATTGTTTCATAATAGTTGAGCTGGCAATATATCGCGAATCACAATGTGTGTAAGGGCTAGGCGATACCTGGTTTTCAACATTGCAATAACTCACCAGCTAAACATCATGATAACTCACCAGATAAGCATCAGAATAACTCACCAGCTAAACACTGAAATGTGATCAGCTGCTAAGCTTCACAATATCACCTGCTAAACATTCACTATTGGTGAATCCAGGGCTAGTTCCACACTAGTGCCTTTTAGTGAGTTATTTTTCCCACAATTAGCTGAGAAGGAATTTAGAATAAAGTTCTATGCAGCACTTAATGTAGTGATATACCGTATTTTTTGCTCTATAAGACTCACTTTTTCCCTCCTAAAAAGTAAGGGGAAATGTGTGTGCGTCTTATGGAGCAAATGCAGGCTACGCAGCTATCCAAGAAGCCAGAACAGCAAGAGGCATCGCTGCTTTCGCTGCGCAGCAATTCCTCTTGTTGTTCTGGCTTCTGGGATTCAGAATAATTTTTTTCTTGTTTTCCTCCTCCAAAAATTAGGTGCGTCTTATGGTCTGGTGCATCTTATAGAGCGAAAAATACGGTACTCTGCAAAATGCCTTCCCCCCCCATTGAGAAGATCCAAACTGGTGCTCTACTTTTAAACTGAGCTCTTAAAACAGAGAGTTTTGGCTGGCACCTTCATTATACGCCTTTCAGCACCAGGCGAAAACATTCCTCTTCAACCAGGTCTTTGGCTAATTGACATCTGGTGCCTTTTGAAATGTGTTGTGGGGTGTATTGGTTTGTGTTTGTCCTAATCCTTATTATGTATTTTGTGTTTTTTATGTTGTATATTTATGTTATGAACTGCCCTAAGATCAACAGATGAAGGGGTGGTATATCAATTATTAACAACAACAACAACAACAACAACAACAACAACAACAACAACAACAACTGAACCTAAACTAAGGACTCATTTACACATACCTTTCCCCACACACTTTCTGGGTCCACACTTTCCTGGTCTGTGTCTGAGTGGTGTTTCCCCCCCCCCCCCTTTTGCCTTATCACTTTCACCAGGAAAACCAGCTCTTTCGTGCTAATCAGAACAAATGGAAATTTGGGTTTTCTTGCATTAGAGAGTGGGCTTTCATGGGGGAAGCAGCAGGGCAAAAAAGCAAATAATAATCATAATAAATAAATAAACCTGCTTGGCTACAGATCGGAAAAACGTGAACCTGAGTCTAGAAAGAATGAAGGATAATGAATGTGGGTGAGCCAAAAATCTTAGAACTCAATGCTTCAAGATTTCTAGGGCTTCCTTAACAAAACCATCCCCATTCCCGTGAAGGAAACGGCAAAGTTACCTTATCCTCCTCTAACAATGGGGATGTCTTTGAGCTAATGCTCTGTTTTTTAAAAGGTGGGTGGAGATGACTACAAAATTGTTCTTCTGACCCATGTGCCAAGTGCTAGATTGCTCTCTATTGACAAAAGCTCCATCAGCTAATCGCATGGCAAGTTCCGGGTTTTGGGGCGGGGCAGTGGGAGAAAGAAGGCTTATGCCTTAACTTTTTCTTCTTCACTTAGAAAAACTGCTGCTACAAAGGATTCGGGTACCAAGAGAATCTGCTGTTTGACTTGTCCTGGTCACACGCTTCAAGGCGCCGGTGCTTGCAATATTCTTCACTACTAGGTAAGATTGAAAATATCTCCCCTTTTTTCTTTGAATGATGCAGTTCAGGAGGGGAAAGTGCAGGCTTTTCATACCAAACACAACCTAAAGCCCTTTATTAGCCATGAGTACCTAAAGTCCTTTCTTTTGAGAGCATCCTTTCAGGTGACAAGGAAGACTGGAAACTGGTTGCACTGTGCTCAGCAGTGGAGGACTGAACTAATTTTTGCATGGCAAGTTCCCGCCTCCTCTCTCAGAAATAAAGACACAAGACACAAGAATTCGAGTTAATGGGTCAAATTAGGCCACAACTTTATTGATTACAGGAATTGAGTGATATTGGCTTAGGCATTGGTCCTAACAACTAACCGGCTTCAGCTCGCTTGCTTGAAGACTGGTAAGGGTTAACCACCAGTAGGGGGAGTCCTGCTGAGGCACGTCAACTAGGAGCTCCCCCCGAAGTTACCGCTTGGGGGCGTGCTGTGGGCCCACACCTCCATAGGCTTAGGACAAGGCCACGCCCCCCGGAATCGTTTACCGGACTACCCTTATGATTGGGGGAAGGTGATGGCGCTTCCTCCCCCCCCCTTCTTCTGCATAACAATAAAACAATACCCCTACCAATGCCTAACCGCCAATACCAAGGAGTTGTGACGGTTTGCTACGAGGTAGGCGAAAACCAAGTGGCTGGAGCCAATCTGCCAAATGGAAAAATTCCTACCAGGCCCCTTGACGGCGACCAACCGAAGTCCATAGCAATGACAGAGAGCCTAACCTAACGGGTGGGAGGAAAGGGAAAAAACCTGGCTGGCTGCGGCATGGGAAAGAGGGAGACCCTCGGCTGCGCCCGACCTAAATGCAGCGAGGCCATGCTCCCCGGCCCAGCTGATTGGCTGGCCCGAGAATGACGCGTCCGAGGATTCCCTGGTATCGCAGGGGCTGCAGCCAGCCCCCGCAAGCGTGGGGAGGGGCGTGAGCCCGCAATCCCACCTCCTCCCTAGCTCGGATGTGGCTTTAGGATAAACATGTCCCACTCCCCCTTCAAAACAAAATGAAAAAAAAGCATGCACCACCCAGACCTATGTTGATGAAAATAGGGTACATTTAGGGTACATGTGTCTCCAGTCCAGACTGGGGGGCCCACACAGTTTTCTGGCTGAAAATCCCCACCCACCCACACCACAATATGTAGTCTAGCCTTCAGTGAAATTCTCATGGCCAGCTAGCTAGTTCAGCCCCACATGTTTTGAGAGGCCTCTGAAAATTGCCAGTTAGTTAGCCTTGTTCTGTGGGATTCTGGGAAAGCAAGGTTACGACTTGTGGCTCAACCCCATACATTTCAGGCACAATTGACACCCATGTTGACGCATATGGCCTCACCCATGGAACCTTAGAAACTGTAGGTTGTTAAGGGTGCTATGATTCGTAGCTCTGTGGGGGGGGTACACTATAGTTCCCAGGATTCCTTTGCGGAAAGCCGTGTCCTTTAAATCTACTCAGAAGGTGATGACCTCTTCGTTGGTGGAGGTTGTTAATCAGAGGCTGGGATGGTCATCTTGTTAGAGAAGCTGTTGCAAGTTTCCTGCACGAAGCAACAAGTTGGATTATACAACCTCGAAACCCTTTTATGTTTCTATGTATGCTTTTGACAGATGCGTTGGCCCTTGACCCTCTCCAGCTGATCCAGAGGAGCTCTGTGTCCAGGGCCTTTGAAAATACGAGAACCCTGTCTACTTCTGGACAGAAACATCTGAGAAATGGCTCCATCTTCGATGTGAATCTGGAGGGGCACAAGTAAGACCAGTGGTCAAGTTTTAAAAATATAGGCTCCATGGGCACTTCTTCTCTGAATGAAGCTGCCATCTTGGATGGAAGTGCCTCCAATGTCTCACTCTTGCCATTGGCCAGGGAATAACCAGGGCAAGGATTGAAAAGCCCAAAGGTTCACCAAGTATAATGAGCAGAGCAGGCATTGGGGGGGGGGGTCCAAAAACTTCAGTCTGCCATCAGCCTATCCCAACCTGCCCGCTTTTTGGGGGACCAGTCCAGGGGTTGGCATGGCCTCTCATCTTCCTCCTCCCTAAGTCTCAGTGTTGCAATTGCAGAACTCAGCAAGAGGAGAAGGATGGAGACAAACCTAGATTTAGTTGACCCTACCTCTCATTTATGGGATGCGGGTGGCGCTGTAGGTTAAACCACAGAGCCTAGGATTTGCTGATCAAAAGGTTGGCGGTTTGAATCCCTTGATGGCGTGAGCTCCTGTTGCTCGGTCCCAGCTCCTGCCCACCTAGCAGTTCGAAAGCACGTCAAAGTGCAAGTAGATAAATAGGTACCGCTCCGGCGGGAAGGTAAACGGCATTTCCGTGAGCTGCTCTGGTTGGCCAGAAGCGGCTTAGTCATGCTGGCCACATGACCCGGAAGCTGTACGCCGGCTCCCTCGGCCAATAAAGCGAGATGAGAGCCGCAACCCCGGAGTCGGCCACGACTGGACCTAATGGTCAGGGGTCCATTTACATTTACCTACCTCTCATTTGCTCTGGATCCATCCAGTTGTTGTTCTCCCTGCCTCCCCCCCCCCATCCCAATGGGCACCAGCTACCCCTGAGAGTTGGCATACCACATTTGTAAGCTAGTGAAATAATAATTCACATTGCCATATAAAGATGTGGGGGTGGGAGGCCCTTAAGGCCATTAAATCCAGAGTCTTAAATTTCTGAGAGCTCAGTTGGTAGAGCATTTGATTCTTAATCTCAGGGTTGTGGGTTCAAGCCCCACGTTGGGCAAAAGATTCCTGCATTGCAGGGGGTTGGACTAGATCACCCTTGTGGTCCCTTCCAACTCTACAATTCTGTTGATTCTACCTGAATTATACCACTGACTATGACACCCAGAACAAGTAGATGTCTGCCTAAGTCTGGCTTGTTTTCCGCTCTGGCCTACAGCCACTTCCTCAACACTCTTTCTGCTTCACAGCCAGTGGGCCTGTTCACCTATGTAAATGCTGTAGATAAAAATATCCCCTGTGCAGCTTGCTTGAGGGGTAACGATGGTGAAGCGCAATGCTTTGGCTGCCTCATGCAAATGAAGCTTTCTGCCATCAGGTGCGATGCCCAGTCTGCTGGTAACCAGACCGATGCAGAGCTTGCCTTAGCCAGAAGGATGGATGCAGACTCTACCAAGGTTAGTCTTCCATCAAGTTTTCCATCAGTTTTGATGACAGCACAGTTTCTCTGGGAGAAAACTGGATAGTTTAAATCCAGTGGGTGGGGGCTATAGTTTGTCATGTGGGAAGAGAGCTTAGAATCATAGAAGAGTTGGAAAAGACCACAAGGGCCATCGAGTCCAACCCCCTGCCAAGCAGGAAACACCATCAGAGCACTCCTGACATATGGTTGTCAAGCCTCTGCTTAAAGACCTCCAAAGAAGGAGACTCCACCACACTCCTTGGCAGCAAATTCCACTGTCGAACAGCTCTTACTGTCAGGAAGTTCTTCCTAATGTTTAGGGGGGGTGCTGTGGCAGAATTTAGCTTGGGGGGGTGCTGTGGCAGAATGGCTCCACAACAGGTTTATTCCCCACCCCCCATGGTGGAGAAGCTTTGTGGGTTCGTATTAAACTCTCTGAAATACCTGTATCCTGGTTCTTCTGGGAACAGTTCTGCAAGACAATGCACTGTTGAAAGATGTGCTTAACTTTCATTCAGGTCATGAGCTAAGGAAATACCAGATCCACACGAAGTGTAATGCGATGGGCTTTTTTTCAAAGGGGTGAGGATTAAAAATCCTAACCCCTTTAAGGTTGTGTATGCACAATGCATTTAAAGCGCATCCACCCTCCAAAGAGTCCTGGGAACTGTAGTTTGGTCAGGGTACTAGGAATCGTAGCTCCGCAGGGGTTAAACTTGCAAACTGGACCTGTGATCCTCCGATGAAGGGCTATGAGCAACATCTGAGCTATGAGGAGCAGAAGTAATTCGATTATAATGTTGTGGTTATGGTGTAATAGAGAGAAGGTAAGGTGCGGCAGGAGAGGAGAAACAATTGCAATGAAATGATAAAAATGAGAGAAAAGACGAAATTGGGTTTTGATTGCATGTGTTAAAAATGTTAAACATAATAAAACATAATGGGAAGAAACAGTGGATTTTCCCGGGGAAAACAGTGGGCAAGCAGGAGTCTGGATGAGCCCAAAGTTATACAAACGCTATCAAACTAAATAATAAGTTGCCTCTTGAATTCTCTTCGAACCTCGTATCAATTTACGACTCAATCTAGTTGGGGCCAGTGGGGGAACTGCCCCCTATAGGGAAGGGGAGGAGCCCATAAACACATCCAAAATAAATAGTGAAGGTCTGGGATTGGATTTTTAAAATGCCAAACACAACCCATCAAGTTCAGAAGGGAAAAGCTGAGGGTCTTCATGTTTGTTTGCCTTTAATGGCTTTCCTGGGGCTCTCATGGTTACTCGAGGTAACTGGATGGTGAGCTGAAGAGGTCTGCGGTTTATTTTTGTAGCCTTTTCTTGCAGCTGTAGGAAACAGCTGCTGCTACAATGGCTGGGAACAAACCAGCATGCTTTCCGCCAAAGCAAAGAGAATGCAAATCCAGATTGTGTAATAGCTAAAGATTTGCATGTCCATACGCTTATCCAGCTAGACATCTCTCTCTAATACTCAACCAGCCTGCCTTCTTGTTTGAAATGCTTCTGGGATTTGATCCAGGCAGCATGGTGTTAATGGCTGGGGAGTGTCCTCTTCCTGCTTTGAGTATACCGTATTTTTCGCTCTATAGGATGCACCCGACCATAGGACGCACCTTGTTTTAGAGGGGGAGAACAAGGGGGGGGAATCTATCCCTCTCTGCGCAGCGCCCCTTCAGCGAAGCGGCAGGAGAAATGGAGCCCCTTCCATTTCTCCTCCCAGTTCACTGAAGGGGCGCTGCGCAGAGAGGGAAAGCTGCGCTGCACCTCTCCAGTGAAGCAAAGCCAGGAGAGCAAGAGGGATCGGTGTGCACCGATCCCTCTTTCTCTCCTGGCTTCAGCGAAACCAGTGCGAACCCTCCAGAGCACAGAGGGAGTTCCCGCTGCACTCCAGAGGCTTCAGGCAGCTATCCCTGAAGCCAGGAGAGTCTTGCTCTCCTGGCTTCAGCAAAAGGAATCCGAAGCCTCCGGAACACAGCAGGCACTCCTGCTGCACTCCAGAGGCTTCAGGCTTCAGCAAAAGCAACGCGAAGCCTCCGGAGCGCGGCGGGAGTGCTCCCACTGTGCTTCAGAGGCTTCGCGATGCTATTGCTGAAGCCATGGAGCCTGCATTCGCTCCATAAGACGCACACACATTTCCCCTTAATTTTTGAAGGGGGAAAAGTGCGTCTTATAGAGCAAAAAATACAGTATATGCTAAACATATATGTTAGAATTCCTGCTCCATGATTGCAGTCATGGGATTTTTGTCTATCACATGATGGTATATGTTTTGACTCCACAGAGTGGGAAGTGACAGAGATAGGATGTTTGTGTTACTGTGTTCCGTGAAGTGGGACTATTGTCCTTTGTTTTTTCTCTTTGCTGTCTATGCTAGAGAGAAAGGGAGCCATGTTGCAGTACTCCGTGTGTGTTTATATGTAAATAAAATAGATTAGCCAAAATGCTGAGTTGCTGAGGTCTGTTATGCAAGCTGCGCAAACTCTGCAGATCCCTAAGTGTGCCGATGTCTGTTGGCGTCGGTCACTGTGATGTTTGGGCTGAAGAAAGATTTTGAAGCTCCTGAATGAAAGACCAGGAGGGAGAGAACATGTCAGTCGGGCATGAGTCTCTGCCAGGGTCCTACTCGAGTGTAGGACGAGCTCCTAATAGTTTTCATCTCTTTATCTCTCCCCACCCATCCCAGGAGAGCGATACTGGACCATTGACAGATGTCCCATCTAGGTGAGAATGTGTGCATGCATTTCATAGTCCACTTCCATTCTGATGTTGAACCATGCACTCAAATTAGGCCCTTGTTCTTTTAGCAGCGAACAAAGTCCACTCCAGGCGATTTCTTCCTCCACTTCAGAATGCACTAATGGAACACATGGTAAGCAACAACCAGGATCTTGCTATTGCCAAATGCATGAATTACTTTTGTGGGTGGTTGAGGTTTTCACATCTGCCAGGAAGGAAATACTATGGAGGAGATGAGGAACCTGTGGCCCACCCAAACATTGCTGGGCTCCAATGCCCAACATCCCTGGCTATGCTGACTGGAGCGGTGGGAGTCAGAAGTCCAACAACCTCTGAATGACTGCAGGCTCCCTGTTCCTATAGCTGTGGTCTAAACCACCGAGCCTCATGGGCTTGCCGATTGGAAGGTTGGCGGTTCGAATCCCTGCAAAGGAGTGAGCTCCCATTGCTCTGTCCCAGCTCCTGCCAATCTACCAGTTCGAAAGCATGCCAGTGCGAGTAGATAAATAGGTACCACTGTGGCGGGAAGGTAAACGGCGTTTCCTTGCGTTCTGGCTTCCATAATGGTGTTCCATTGCACCAGTAGCAGTTTAGTTATGCTGGCCACATGACCAGGAAAGCTGCCTGTGGACAAACGCTGGCTCCCTCGGCCTGAAAGCAAAATAAGCACCGCAACCCCATAATCGCCTTTGACTGGGCTTAACCATCCAGGGGGTCCTTTGTAGCCTGGAGAGCTCAGTTGGCAGCCTCTCGAGCCTTCTAATCTGTGGGCAAATCCAGACAGCCTGTCTTAGTTGGAAATCTTGTGCCCGACGGCACCACTGTTAGGAGGTCTGCTGTAACACAGCTTGGAAGCAAGGGCACATGCCTTGCATGCACAAATTCCTGGGTGTGTTGAGTTTTTGTAAGGTCCTGGGTAGCAGGGGTGGAAATGACCTTTGCCTGACATCTTGGAGAACCACATCCAGATGCAGACTGGACACCATAACTAGAAGGAAATGATTCTCCAGAATTGCATTCCCTTAACAGCAGGTTGCGTGGCAAGGCCCCCAGACCAGCCCCTTGTTAAAATAAATTCACACGGACACAGAATATTTAGTTTAAGGTTATTGGCAAAATTTTAGGCCACAACTTTATTGAATTACAGAAATATGAGTGGTATTGGCTTAGGCATTGGCATAGACTATACCGGACACCTGCCTGGTTTGCAGGAAGTCAATAAGGGTAAACCATCCCAATAGGAAGCCACATTGGGGGAACCCGCCTGTAGCTTTCCGCAGTGTTCCCAGAGGTCTGGCATGGCCCTAGCCCCTCAAGTGGACTTCGGACAGGAACCAGGCCCTGGATTCATTTAACGGGATACCTTTGGTCAATGGAGGAGCAGGCGATGGCTGACCTCCCCTCCCCCACGATTCAATGAGCCAATGCCTAACCGCTAAACCTTACAAAGTTGTGACGATTGCTAAGAGGTAGGCGAAAACCAAGTGGCCCATGCCAATTTGCCAAATGGGAAAATTCCTACCTGGCCCCTTTCCCAAGACAGGCAACCAACCAACATCCAAAGCAAGGCCAGAGAACACATAAATTACAGAGCGGGTGGGCAGGTGTTCGGCAGCGCAAAGCAGGTGCATAGCCACATCGCGATCAAAAATGATTGGCCAATAGGTCTGGGGTGATTGTGATGCCACCCTGGCATGAAAGTGTTACTCCGCCCATGCCAGGGGGCAGGGAGGAACCGGGCTGCCCACAACCAGGACCATTCTAATGATGATCCCACTTGTGTTTTCCTCTGCTGTGAAACTGATGCAGACCTTTAGAATTCTGAGAGATGTGAGATATTGGACATTATTGTTCGTTGCGCTTCTCCGTACCCATTGCAGACTTGGACCCTACACTACTGCACGCCGTAGAGGAGACAGTCTGTGAAGTTACTTTGCTGCCAGGTGAAGAAACTGCTGCAAAGGAAGGAGCTAACGGGGAGACTTCCACCAAGAGCACTGGTATGGTACCTTTGGATTATTGGACTCCATCCCTTCTGCTCCAGCAAGTCCCTTGGTTTCTGTGGTAGGCATAGAAGATTGTCCGGACACTTCTCCACCAGCCTGCTCACTTGCCTGCACGACATTCCACTTTTCCTGTGGCTACCAGGCCAGCACTTGAATACAAGGCTGTCTTAATCTTAAAATGTTTTGTGTTTGTGACGCTAGTCAAATTTGCAGAGTAAACTCAGCATCTTAAAGAGCCTTTAAATGCACCCGTTCACACCTGTACATGCCTGCCTTTGCCTCAAAGCTTCCCTTTTTGCAGAAGTCAGTTGTGCATAGACAAAGGATTTGCTACATTTCACACTTCAGGTAAAATTTTGATGAACTCATCTTGACCCATGCCAGTGCAAAGGTGGTATCTACGCAGCACTGTTGTCCCACCCGAAAAATATACCAGTGGACCAATAAACGCCCACTCCTGCTTTGAGCTTCCCAGTTGAATGAGATGATTTGCTCTGATTGCATGTTTCATTTTTGCTTTTAATTATTTTTTCTTCCATCCACACAATTCAGCAGGAGATCCTTCTTCATCTGAGGACGTGGCTAGTGTTGCTGTGTGTAAAACCAGGCAGAATAACAAGTGAGTTTCAGGTCCTATGGACGTCATCCCACCCCTTTGGTCCCTACATGGTCATCTTCTCTCTCAAGCCTCCATTTTGTCAGGAATCTTAGCTGGCGAAGGGGAGTAAAGAAGCACAGGAGGCCTTTGCAGTTCCAGTCGACAAGCATGTGCAGTTTTCCCATCTGGTTGGCCACTGTGAGAACAGGATGTTGGACTGAATGGGCCATGGGCCTGATCCACCAGGCTCCCATTAGATGTCAAGGGGAAAAGCAACTATTTGACTTTCAGAAGATCTCTGAAGGCAACCCTGTATAGGGAAGTTTTGTAATGTTGGATGTTTTGTTGTTTTAAATATTTTGTTGGGAGTTGCCCAGAGTGGCTGGGGCAATGCAGTCAGGTGGGCAGATTATGATTATTATTAGTAGTAGTAGTAGTAGTACTACTATAGTAAAGGTAAAGGGACCCCTGACCATTAGGTCCAGTCGCGAATGACTCTGGGGCTGCGGCGCTCATCTCGCTTTATTGGCCAAGGGAGCCGGCATACAGCTTTTGGGTCATGTGGCCAGCATGACTAAGCCGCTTCTGGCAAACCAGAGCAGCACACGGAAACGCCGTTTACCTTCCCGCCAGAGCGGTACCTATTTATCTACTTGCACTTTGATGTGCTTTCAAACTGCTAGGTTGGCAGGAGCAGGGACTGAGCAACGGGAGCTAACCCCATCGTGGGGATTCAAACCGCCGACCTTCTGATCGGCAAGCCCTAGGCTCTGTGGTTTAACCCACAGCGCCACCCACTCCCACTACTACTATATTTTATTTTAATGTTCTGATGGTCTGTCCTAACCCCATTTAGTGGTGGCAAAATCAGTGGCAGCAAAACTGGCATTTTTGGGGAGACTCTTCGGTTTCCTTGAAGCACTTCTTGTTTCTGGTGCCGAAGGCACCTTATTAAGAGCTGGTTTCACCATCTCTGAGGAGTTCGGGGAGGGCAGCACTGGACTGGAGGAGGATTCCCCCTCCCCCCATGAACAGATCTGAGAAAAAATATTCAAAGTGCGCTCCTTCAAACCCCATCACCTCTCCTATAACCAGGGAACTTGCCAGAACTCAGCTCTGGCACCTATAAGCTGGGCGCCATTGCCATTCTTAAGAGAACGATGGAGGTGTTTGTGGTGAGTTCTGGCACCTTTTATTCTAGAAAGATAGCACTGCCTATAACCACATGGTCTGGTGGTGTAATCATTTGTCTCTTCTGGTTTCAGTGTGTCTCCCAGTGAGAAGGAAGTGGAGGTAAGCCTTTCAAAATGTTTGCTGTTCTTCTGCCTTTTCTCCCATGCCCAGAATCAGCCTCCCCTAACCTGGTGCATTCTATGTATTTTGGACTACAGTTCCCATCATCCTTAATCATTGCGCTTGCTGATTGGTCCTGCTGGGAATTGCAATCCAACATCAGGAGGGCCACCAGTTCTCTCCATCCCTGGTTAAAAGCTGTTTGGATATCTGGCATTTGTTGAGAATTGCAAGTGAATTGTTTTTGTCATCCTGCTATGTTGTGTCCATTGGATCTTTTTGTTGCTGGTTTATTATATTATCTCAATGTCAGCATAAAATGTGTGTCCACTGCATAGGCTCTTCCAATTCCACACAGTTGTTTCTGACCTTGTGAATAGCACGCCTCTACTTTTAGGTTTATCCTTCATTACTGGTCAGTTTCACCTCTTTTTAAAGAGAAGCTGTTATCTGCTTGCTTTCCATCTGCAAGGACTGGTACTCATCTTCTTCTCTGGCGATCACTTGTAGCCAAGTAAGATTGTCTTCCATAAACATGGTTTTAAAAGTGAGTCTGTAAGTGACTGTGGAGGCCAGTTCTGGATCCACACATCCTTCCACAGTGGGGACAGTGGTTTCCGGGCAGGAGTTGATCACAGTGTGGATTTGCCAAGCGTGCCTTCCTCTTAGCGCGTTTCTCCATTTTGCCCTGTGTTGGAGCGTCTTCAAAAGCCATGACAACTTTGGTAAAGGCTGTTCTCCAACTGGAGCACTCGCAGGCCAGTGTTTCCCAGTTGTCAGTGTTTATACTACATTTTTTTAGATTTGCCTTGAGAGAGTCTTTGAATCTCTTTTGTTGACCACCAGCATGACGCTTTCCATTTCCCCTTGCTGGTGGCTATTAATGGGCAATCCCTTCTGATCAGGAAACTTGATTTATGTCATTGCCTGCATTGGGGTTGCGTGTATCTTTTTTCGCTTCGCCAGGGAGAATTTCTTCGACTGTCTCTGGGATTCAAATGTGACCTCTTCACTTTGGAGAAGAGAGTCAGGCTGGAAGAAAGGTCCCGGGATTTAGCAGAGGGAAACCTGAGGAAGGAGATTGCCAGCGCCTTGAAACTACTTGATGTAAGGATGAGCTATGTGCATCTGTTGCTCATTGTTTCCCTTGGCTTTGCTTTAAAAGGGCGAGGATGGACATAACATCTTTAGAGTGGGGTGGGTAAATTGAGAGTGTCCACATTGCAGCTTTATCACCTCCTAGAGCAAGCTTTAAACACCAGTGAAAGGTACTGATTGGCTAGTACCTACGAAGTCACCAACACACTTCCCTCCATTGTTTCTCTGCTCCAAGGCCATTTGCAAAAGTGTGTGAGGAGCCTGCCTGAATCGGGGACCTTCTGCATGCCCTGAGCTATGACCATTCTACCCTGCTGCTTAATCTTCATTTATACAATGGCTGCAATTTTTACATGCCCTCTTTTTCCTTTTGAACACTGTTCCTGTTCAGTCTCTGTCCTCTCTAAGTGAAGATAACCAGGCACAGGAGATCGTCAAAAAGCTTCAGAAGAGCTTGGAGCTGCTGAACCAGTACGCCACCAGGCTTGCCAGCAAGGCAGAAATGCTGGGGGCCATTCATCAAGTAAGTGGTCCATTCCAGAAAATGTAAACGTTGCCTCTTTCTTTTAAAAGCTAGGTTGGGGAACTTGGGTCCCTCCGGAAATTGCTGGACTCCCACTCCTGTCATCCCTCTCCATTGGCCAAGCTAGCTGAGGCTGATGGGATCTGGAGTCCAGCAATGTCTGGGGAGGGGCACAGGTCCCTCAGCCCTGTTGTTAGAAGGCGCAAGCTTAAAATTGGGCCATTCCTTTATTGGGTAGATGGTGTGATCTTGCTATATCTGCAGACGTTTGAAGACCTGAGGAGGAACGGTTAGACAGGGCAGGGCAGTTGTTACAGAAGAAGTGGAAGGTCCATTTGGGAGATCAGTTTTGGAGTTGCAGCGTTTGGGGCAAGGAAGCAGGAGAGAAACTTGAGGGGCACCGCAGCAGAGGCTCTCGTGCCAGGAAGACTGCTGTGGTTCTCATGAGAAGGAAAAGCTACGCATTGATCCTGAACAGCTTTGTTGAATGCCTGATTTCTAAGTAAAATCCACAAACGGATTTGAAGTAGAACCTCGACTTGGCTGAAACTTACCCTGGAGATTTATTTTGCATTGTGCTATTTCATACAACTTGTGTGGACTTGAGCAGAGAGCAAAGGTCCCATCCTCTGTCGGTTTACTCATTTGCTGTCGCCAGTGCTTTTTTCCCCAAGAAAAATAGGTTCTGGAATGTTCTAAGGAAAAGCGGGACATTCTGGAATCAAATCAGAAGCTGGGACAGCTTCAGTAAATCCAGGGCTGTCCCTAAAAAATAGGGACACTTGCAGGGTCTGGTCTCTGATAATGATTAAAGGCACTAAGGGCCAGATTAAACTAACCTGAAGCTAGCATAAGGACTCCTGTTTGTGCAAGGGGGTTCTCCTTAACCCCTCACCCACCCATCCACTCTGGCCCAGTGAGGCTTCAGTCCCATCCCGTGGGCAAGACCAATATTGCTCAGGAATTGTCCCATCTGATCATGTTTACTATATGGTTATGTTTACATTACTGCATGCTCCGCGGGCAGCGAGCTCCCACTGCTAATTTTTGAAGCAGCATTCACATATTAGCCACAATCCATACCAACCCTGTGGTTTCTTGACAAATACTGCTGCTTGGATGCATTTATTTTTTCTCAAACCAGCTTCAATCTGACGAGGAAAGTTAAGCTGCATTCGCTTTGCACTTCAGAAGAAAGTCTGCTTTAGAGACAGGTGTCACGCCTGTGCAGATGACAACTTCACGAAGAGGAGTTCTTGGTGTGGGTAGGGGAAAGTAAAAAAGATTGTGTGCTTCGTTCGGGTGTAGACATCCTCTGATGTGAAAAACACCATGCATATGCAGCTTGGAATAATTGGAGAGAATAATTGGGTGCATGCTTCCCACCTCGGAACAAATCTATGCTTCCAGGTGCCATAAGAAAGCTGCAGAGATAGCGCAGGATAGTGCGCACCCCGGAAATGATCTCTTTCAGCTTCTGCCTTCTGGAAGAAGTTACAGGGTTATAAAGACTAGGACTAGCCACCTGAGAAAGAGTTTCTACCCAAATGCAATTTTGGTTTTAAACGCAGTGTACGGAGTATATTGTATTTAAAAATGGGGTATCAGAGTTTTTAGGGCGCTAACCAGGTTGGGATAGCTGGGATAGCAGGCTTGTTGGGTTTTGAATGTTTTATGTAGATTTTTCAATTTTGTTGTTCTGTATGGGACAATGACAATAAAGATTATCGTAATTGTAATTAATCGTAATTAATCGTAATTGGAACAGAGCTGTTTGAGCCTAGTCGACAGTTGCAGCAGGATCAAGTAAGAGAATGGACTGAACCTCTGTAGACTGCAGTTGGAAGGGGGAATTGCATTTTTAATACTCTCCTATGTAAAGCACACCCACCTGCTCAAGTAGAAAGCTAGCACAGCAGAAAGCAGGCTGAACTAGAAGCTCTAATCTGCAAGTATATTCTTTTTAGGAAATCTTCGCTACAGACAGAGGATACTAGTTTTGACTCCCCCCATGGCATCTTAGACTGAAGAATGAACTCTCTATCTTAATAGAAGCTGGGGGTGCTTGGGGGGGCGAGAATTCTCGCTCTGCTGGAACTCTTGGGTTCCCACACTCCTGTGGGGGGCGGGTTTGGGGGTGCGCTGAGCTCTAGCGCTGCCCTCCAAGCCTCTCTGCCGGCTCCGTGTCACAGACGACACTCAGCACACCGCCATTATCCTCTGCAGCAGCCGGAAGTCCTCAACTCCCTATCTTAATAGAAGCAAATCACTGCCTTCCACTGTGTGTGCAGATCAGATTGTACAGTCCAGTGTTTACTGGAGCCATTCTGTGGCTCGCCAGGTTGTCCTCTTCCTTTTCCCCTCAACGCTTTAGGCAAGCTCAGCTCTGGAACAAATTAGCCCGGCGTCCTTCCAGATGTGTTTTTGGGGCTACACTTCCCATCAGCCTCAGTGGCTCGTTCTGCGTTTGCGCGCAAGGACCGCTCTGGAAATTCTCCGGCTGGTCTCCGCGTGCCCGCCTAACTTTCTGTTTCTCAGGAGAGCCGGGCCAGTAAAGCTGTAGAAGTGATGATTCAACACGTGGAGAACTTGAAGCGTACGTACGCCAGGGAGCACGTGGAGCTGGAGGAGCTGAAGCAGGTGCTGCTCCAGAATGAAAAGTCCTTCGGCTCTCTTGGGGACCGAGGTAACAGTGAGCGAAGTGCTGACTTGGCCTTGCATTAGCTGCCACCATTTGCTCCCTTGCTTCCCCGCAACATGCAGGTGACTGCTGAGCATCTGATGCACGCTGAGCGTCTTGGGCTCTCTTACTGGGGAGGCTAGTGGAGCTAGTGGAGGCTGGCCCATTAGGATGAATGGACCTTCAATCTGCCTGCCTGTCTCCTTACTGACAAGCAGTCCACTGCCTTTCACCTCCCTCCTCATCTGTCTCAGTGTTGTCCCTTATAGGACTCAGCAGGGAGGAAGACAGAGACACAATTGCCATGTCTGGCATTTGCTCTGGCACCACCTGCCCAGCCTTCTGGCCTACTGGTTGCAGCGGCCTGTATGGTGTAGTGGTTAAGAGCGGTGGACTCGTAATCTGGTGAACCGGGTTCGCTTCCCTGCTCCTCCACATGCAGCTGCTGGGTGACCTTGGCCCAGTCACACTTCTCTGAAGTCTCTCAGCCTCACTCACCTCACAGAGTGGGGGAGGAAGGGAAAGGAGATTGTTAGCCGCTTTGAGACTCCGTCAGGTAGTGATAAAGCGGGATATCAAATCCAAACTCCTCTTCTTCCCCGCGCTGTGTGGGTTTAAAAAGACCATAAGAGCTTGCCAGGTCAGGTCAATGGCCCATCTAGTCCAGCATCCTGTTCTCTCAGAGGCCAACAAAATGTGAGCAGAGCATAGTTATTATGGCTAGTAGCCCTTGATAGCCCTACAGACCTTTAGCTGTGCTATAGATTCATTTTCTCCCCCTACTCTTATTGCTGTTGCAGATGAATCTTCGATTAAAAAGCTCTCTGGTTCCTTAAAGGTACAAATGTTGCTGCAGTTCTAAGCTTCTAGTTCTCTGCACACTTTGCCCCTGATACAGTGGTACCTCGGGTTACATACGCTTCAGGTTACATACGCTTCAGGTTACAGACTCCGCTAACCCAGAAATAGTGCTTCAGGTTAAGAACTTTGCTTCAGGATGAGAACAGAAATCGGGCTCTGGCGGCGCAGCGGCAGCAGGAGGCTCCATTAGCTAAAGTGGTCTTCAGGTTAAGAACAGTTTCAGGTTAAGAACGGACCTCCAGAACGAATTAAGTACTTAACTCGAGGTACCACTGTAACCTGCTCTTTCCTGTGCTGTGCCCTGCTGCAATCTTGGACTCTATTGATCTCCACTCCAATGATGTGATTTTTTAAAAAACAAACCCTGACATGTTTTCCTTAAAGAAGGCTCTGAAGTCAAATTTGGGTGTGTGACGTCTCTTGAACTAGGTTTCATTTTTTAATTATTCTACGCAAACAACCAAATTGCCATCCTTTGCAGAATTTGGCATTTTGACAATCTGCTTGCTTTTTATAAAGAAAATTTGAAGTTCTAGCTCATAGGGCTGTGATATTTTGAAAGTGTGAGCAATGTCTGGTTAAGCCTCAAGCGGGAGGGAGAATCAATACTCTGCATGGTATCTTTGCTCCATTACCACCACTGGCCGAAGCAAAATAATTGGAGTTGGTTTGTATGTGAAGCTGATGCAGGTGATATATACAGAGTAGAATGTGTTCAGCATCAGTCGTTGAAGAAACAAACTGTAGGCTATACGTTCTGATGAGATTAGCTTCTGTAGAATAATACAACATGCTGGTCTGGAGCAAAATGCAAGTTACTGATAGGAGTTTGTTTTTCTGGTGCTAATGGTTCAAGTGGAACTCAAGAGTTGTGCAAACAGTGGCCGCAACCCTGAAAATACAGTTTTTCAAGTTTATTGGCGGTGCATCCTGTGTTGAAAGTTTAATGAGTACCTTTAAGCACTTTCAAGGGGGGATGAGGGAGAAATTCGTCTAGCTCACATTTTGATGCGGACTCGCCAAATTTGCACTTCCTCCTTCGAAAAGCACTTCCTCCTTTAAAATTTTGTGTCGTTCTCCAACCAAAGAGTGCAGATAGCAGAATATGTAATGTTAGTGAAAACTGCACAAAGAAAGCCTTCTGTTAAGGGAAAACTGCTTGCAAAAATGCATGTGTTAAACAAAGTTGGATACAAAAAGAGGTGTGTCAGAGACAGGCATGAAAATGCACATGGATATTCACATGATTTTTTAAAAATTTATTTACTCCACAAATGTATGCAAAAACAGTGTGAACTGAACTTAGCCTGGGAAAATAAGAAACCAACATTAACACTTTCAAGTAAACCTAGCAGGGACGTTAGACATAAATGCTCAAATTGGAGCTGATTCTGAGCATGACCTGCTGCTGCGCTTTGCTCGCTCGTTGCCTTTCCCTCTGTTCTGCTTCTCCATATTCTGCCACCCAATTCCCTAGTTGAAGTAACTCACAAGGAGGAAGATGCCCTTAAATAAATAAAAAAACTCTGAATGAAATTTTGGGAACTTGGAAAATCCCTGCGAGTAAAAATCTCAAAAAAACAGTTGGCTGCCTGAACTGCAGAATTTCAGGCTTGGTTTTTCTCATGGTATGCTTATGCCTCTAAATGACCTGAAATGTAATACAGCAAAGAATCTTGAAAAGATTCAGAAAGACAATTGAAGTGGAATTTACAATCGGGCAACATTTTTGAGTAGCCTTTTTAAGGAATTGGATGGAGGAGATGCTTCTTCAACTGGCAATAGTTTGCAAAGCCTTGCTCTTCCTTTTGAAGTTTTGTTGACATGACCTGTTACTCCTTGCCACTTGGTTTTTATTCTTCTTGCACTCTCAAAGGTAAGCCCCAAGTAGCAGCACATCTGGTGTTGCTGCAAAACGCAACCTAGTGTAATATTTTATCTGTGTCATAACACCATGGCACTCTGCATGTCCCTATCTCCAACCCACATCAATGGCTTCTATCGGGGAGAGGCAGGGAACGTGAAATTATGTGTCTGTGCTCAAGCGCTACTCATTTCAGAAAAGGGAGCTGACATGCGATTAACATCTAGGGACACGGAAGAAATTTGGTTTGGTTTGCATCTACAGATGCAGCTGGCGCTCGGTTTGGTTTGCATGAAAATGCCCGATTTGCATTTTTCTGAAAAAATATGAGAACTGAAACGCAGCAGTGCTTTGACACGCTCACACCTCCAAATTTCGCAATGCCGTTCTCCAACCACACGCGTACAAAAAATGTGTTTTGTTAGGGGCGCTTGCTCTCAAAAATGTGTATGTTTAGGAGAAAAATCTATGAGGAGGGCGGATTGTGCACTGAAAGGTTGGTGGGTTTTTGCAAAGGCTGTAAAACAAAATTGCAAGCTGACATGGAAAATGTGAAGAGAACTGAAGATTTGAAAAAATAAATGAGAACTAACATCAGTGGAATCATCCATTCCTTGTAGCACCATATCGGCTTGGGGCCCAAGTGGACTTCCACAGAGAGATATTTGCTCAATGAAAAGTAATAATAATAATTTATTATTTATACCCCGCCCATCTGGCTGGGCCTCCCCAGCCACTCTGGGCGGCTTCCAACAAAAGATTAAAAGCATCTACTAACTTAGGGCGCCCCAATTTTTCATAGCAAGTGGGCTGCAATAATGTTTCAGTATGGAAGCTGTGGGCCGCACACTGCCATGTTGCGGGGGGAAGGGGGAGCAGGGCCAAAATTGGACACACACACATACCCTGCAACTCTTGCACTACCTTCCCAAAGCCAACTAACTGAGGTGCTGGGCTTTGAGAAGGAAGCTTGGAAAGCATTAACTAGGTTTGGGGAAGAAGGTGGGATTACTCTAGGACAGGCATAGACAAATTCGGCCCTCCAGATGTTTTGGGACTACAATTCCCACCATCCCTGACCACTGGTCCTGTTAGCTAGGGATCATGGGAGTTGTAGTCCCAAAACATCTGGAGGGCCAACTTTGCCTATGCCTGAAATTCAAAGACTATTTACAGAAATATTGCAAAATTAATGAATGTTAGAATGATGTTGGATTGAAGTTAAGGGGTTTCTAGCTGTACAGGCTAAAAGAATATGGAAAAATTGGTTTTTATATGTAAAATCTAAAATTTAAAGTTATATTATATCAAGATTAAAGATTAGGATTAAAAAGGAGGGAAAGGAATTGTTGGATTAACATATTTAATTAGAATACAAAAGAGGGGGGTAAGAGGAGGTCCGAGAAACAAGTAAATGTAAAAGAAGTGAGGAAAAGATGAAATTGTTTTTAATTGTTTTTTCCTTTTTTCCTTTGTATTTTTTCTTTTTATTGTTATTTTTTTTTTCATTAATGTGGTCTTTTTTTCTTGTGAAATTTTAATAAATATTATTTAAAAAAAAAAAGAGAGAGTTTGCCTATGCCTGCTCTAGGACCCTGTCAAGATACCTCCTTTCCAAAGCCCAGCACCTTGCTTAACCAGCTTTGGGAAGCCAGTGGGAGGGCGAGGCGAGGGGCTGTCAAATGTTGCCGAGGGCCGCACAAAAAGGACTCGGGGGTCCGTGCATTGGACCAGCCTGTACTAACTTGTACACATTTGTGAGACCAGGTACTCTTACACCGCTGAAGAATTGCAGAAGGACATCTTGAAATAAGAATAACAACAACGGCGTCTATTCTTATATATTGCTAAGTTGTACTTGGTTCATGTGAGCGTTACTTTTGCATAGAAAACCACAGGGCTTGTAAGCTCTCGAAGGCATAACCCAACAAGCAGTGTCTCTTATTTTATGTAGCCTTCATCCCTACGCCGAGTTAGCATTGCAACCTTGCCTAGGAATACTGGAAATGCTGTTTTGCCGCTGGTATGTAGGCATTTTCCAGTACCGACAGTTTATTACCATTGATGTATCAGATAAATACATGCTGAACTCTCTTCTCCTTTTTTCTCCAAAGGCCCAGTTAAATGAAACAGATGGAAGTGACAAAAGTGACAAATTCAACAGGCGCCCTAGTTGGTAAGAAAGGAGTTTGTGTGGTTGAAAGAGATGGATATGCACTGTGTGTGTTCACCTATACCTTAAAAATATTTGGAATTCAAGTACCGTATTTTCCAGCGTATAAGACGACTGGGTGTATAAGACGACCCCCAACTTTTCCAGTTAAAATATAGAGTTTGGGATATACTCGCTGTATAAGACTACCCCTCTTCCAACACACACCAAATAAAATTTTTAACAACCAGTCTCCAGTCCGGCTCGGAAATCTGCTCCACTTCCCAGTGGCCCGGGAGGGGGGGCCTGGCCGGGTCCGTTTAAATGGAGGAGCGAGCCAGAGGGCTTCCTCTTTGGCTGGCTTCCTCAATCGCTAAGGACATTGCTGAACTTCGCTCGGGTATTGCTTTTGTCGGACCTGCTGAAGCATTTTGGGGGGATTTTTTACTGCTTTTGTTGAGCCGCTCTCGTGGAATTTGCTAGTGGTCTACTACCGGGAACGGTTAGGGTTGTTCTGTTGCTGGTGATTGGGGGGGCTTCTGGGGCCAATTTTCAAGTGTATTTCTGCTTCATTTAGAGAGCTTGGTGTCCTCTGATTTAATTTGCTATAGTTTTGTCCTTTGGTGGGAAGTTGCTGCAGGAGCTGCTGCTATAGCCGGCGTATAAGGTGACCCCTGACTTTTGAGAAGATTTTCCTGGGTTAAAAAGTAGTCTTATACGCCAGAAAATACAGTATTTCAGTTCCCAGTACAGGCAGGAGGTATATTGTGAAATATGCTTCTGGGACACTAGCCTAGTGAATTGTATCCGAACTTGGACACCACCTATTGAGATGTCTTCTTACTGACTTTTTGAGCAGGTTCGAATACAATGATTTGGAACGTCAGGAAGAAGCACAATTTGCTCCTCTCTCTTCTGTGCTAAGAAAACGATTGTTATTATTTAGCATTATTTGTTCAATATACATACCGCCCTTTATCAAAAGATCCCAGGGCAGTGTGCGGCATTAAAAGCACATTACGGAACACCAGTGATAAAAGCATAGTAAAAAGTATACTGACAGAGTATACTAAAATAATCATAATAGCTACATTCTTGCAGGCCATAGATTATTTAATAGTCATAGGCCTGGGTAAAAAGGGGCATGTTTTTGCCTGGCATCTAAAGATATATAATAACGGTGCCAGGCGAACTTCTTTGGAAGAACAGTTTGAGGGAAATGTGCGTACAAACCCATACATTTGTAAAAAAAAAAACATACCGAAATGCATTGTGCTGGGGGGAAATGGCTGGTGCATATTAGTCAAACCCAGATACAAAATTGTATGTTGTAGGAGAAAATAATGCTAAAATGCTTGTGAATTTTTGTCGATTTTTTTAAAATAAAAAAACACACAAATTGTTGCAGAAAGATGAGAGAAGAGAGAGAGAAGCTTGATTGATTTGTCCAACCTTACCTGTGACTAACTGCCCCACAACACGTAGTTTAGCTTTTGTGTGATAAATCCATAATGTTCTGCATTGGGGAGGTGTCTGGACCTTCCTTTCTTACGCCGAAGGTATTCTGCATATATGGCAATGATCTGCTCCCAGGGCCGGATTTAGGTTTGATGAGGCCCTCAGCTACTGAAGGCAATGGGGCCCTTTCTATGTCCAGCTGTCCTTTGTCAGCAACAAATTGCTCCTGTTTTTTGTGTTGAATATATGCTATATGGTCATTTATGGACCTAGTAGGTATCTATTTGCACATAACAAAATATGTATTTTATCAAAGTAATTGTTTGAAATACAGTTAAGAAATATATTAATAGTGAAATACAGTAAAGAAGAGGTATAGTAATAGTGAAATAATTATTAAGCTCTAACTTAAAATGATTTTTTTATATGATGATTGCTTTCATTTTATGGATCAATGTTCTTGTTAGATAGTAAAATTCATGTTAAATTGCTGTTTTAGGGGTTGTTTTTAAAAGTCTGGAACGGATTAATCCATTTTGTATTGCTTTCTATGGGAAAGCCTGCCTTGGTTTTGGAACGGACTTCCGGAACGGATTAAGTTTGAGAACTAAGGTACCACTGTATATAGAAATGAGCAAACCAGTGATATTTTAGGGAGCAGGCTAGCAGGCGGGGCCCATTACTTACATCATAGGAGCCTACCCAACACAAAACAAAACACTGTTGCTGTATGTGGGTTTTATCTTATATTTTTGAAATGTACAACCAGGTTTGTTTTTCCTTTAAATTTTTTGGGGGCCCCCAAGAGAGTGGGGCCCTAACCTATAGCTTGTTTAGCTTATGCGTAAATCTGGCAGTGTCTGCTTTACAAGGGCAAAGCAAGCAGGTCCAATCTCTTCTTCCAACAGGGGCTTAATGGGAACAAAGCAAAGCGAGAAGCGTCCTTTGTTGCAGAGGTACGTAAGTTCGCCTTCCTGGGCTGAGTCGGAGGAAGAGCACAGTGAGCCCAAGTAAGTCTCTATGCTTCTTGCACATTGTCTGGCCCCAGAAGCCAATGTCAAAGTTGCACCTTATATGTCCCGTCCCCCCTGCCAGGGTATTGCTTTCTGATGAATGGTGGTAAATTGTTTTCCTCCTAACTCCTACCTGGAAAGCACCTGTGAATCTGGGAGTTGTAGTCCAGAACATCTGGAAGTCACTGTTAGGTCTAGGGGAGGAGAAATTTGATTCAGTTCACATTTAAAGGCAAACCTGCCTAATTCGAAATTTGCATTTCTCCAAATTGTGCAATGCAGTTTCCCGGCCGTGTAATGGGCGCGAAAATCTATATGGGAAAAGCGTGCGTAGAAATGCATATGTTAGTGAAGATAACATACAAAATGCACTGCGTTAGGGGGGAATTGGTTTGCAGCATCTAATAAGCGAAATTAAATGCAAAGTTGTGTCTATTAGAAGAAATTCACTGATGAGTTTTCGTGAGGACTTTGAAAAAAAATTGTTGCAAACTGATGTGGAGTTCTGAAACTTAAAAAAGAGAAATGAAAATGGACAGATTGGTCCATTCAGAGTTGGATAACCTTGGTTTAAGCTATAGTTATACAGCACATTTGTGTGAGAGAGATGAAAGTTTCTGTGAGTTCCTTATATCAAGAGAACATCCAATGGAAATATCTCCCCATAAACCTCTTTCCAAAAGTTACACATGTCCAGAGAAGGTGATTGCAAGTACCTGAGATCCAGGTCCCTCTCTATAGTGGCCCCTTTTTTATCTTGCTCCCTTCCAAGCCAGCATATTTTAGTCCATTGCTTTATATTCACTTAAACAAAAAACAAGTTTTTAATGTTTGACGTTTTATTCTGTTTTTAGTCCTCTGTTGGGAGCCGCCCAGAGTGGCTGGGGAAACCCAGCCAGATGGGCAGGGTATAAATAATGAAAGTTATTGTTTTTATTATTATTCAAAGCTTTTGTGGTCTAGGATACTGTCTAGACCAGGGGTAGCCAACATAGTACTCTTTGGGCTCCAATTCCGAAGTTGGAAAATGCTGTTGGGCTTGAGTCTTGCTTACAGGCTTCCCAGAGGCCTCTGTGAGAACAGGATGCGGCAATTGACCCTATTGAGTGGAGTGGTTCTTAACTCTTAAGTCAGTGGTCACAAACGGTGGGAACTCTAGTCCAACAGTATTTGGTGGTCACCAAGGTGGCGACCCCTGATCCGGACCATGATATCAAAGCTGTAGGTTTTCTCTTGTTGGTATTTGTAGTTGGCTGTACAATTTCAATTAAAGCTTAACTGAATGTTGAACTGGGTTGTGTTTAATATCGTGAGCTGCCTTGGGGGCCAGTTTGGCTGGGGAGATGGATTAAAGCTGTAAGGATGATAATATTCTGGAGGAAAAGCATTGGGAAGGAAATGTTGCAGAGGTCTAGAAACTTTGCATTTGGCAAATCCCTCTTATGCCCTCCGGGAGTCTTGTGTAGCAACCTGAAGCACATAAGTTAGTTAATAATAATAATTAAAAAAATATTATTTATATCCCGCCCTCCCCAGCCGAAGCCGGGCTCAGAGCGGCTAACTACAGTAAAATAATACAGCATTCTAAAATCAATTCATTATAAAATCAGTTCAAATCAAATTGATGGCAACCATTGGGCTAGAGTTCTGTGAAGAATGACCAAAGACAGGGGTCAGGCTGCGCCCTGACCAAAGGCCTGGTGGAACAGCTCTGTCTTGCAGGCCCTACAGAAAGATGTCAAGTCCCGCAGGGCCCTAGTCTCTTGTGACAGAGCGTTCCACCAGATTGGAGCCACAGCCAAAAAAGCCCTTGCTCTGGTTGAGGCCAGCCTAAGCTCCCTGTGGCCCAGGACCTCCAAGGTGTTTTTGTTTGAGGACCGTAAGGTCCTCTGTGGGACATACCAGGAGAGGCGGTCCCGTAGATACGAGGGTCCTGGGCCGTATAGTTCCCCCTCATACGGTTGAAATGAAAAGGGGAGGAGCATTTGAGGGGCTAATCCTTTTGTCAAAGCAGTGCATAAGCTCGCCAGCCGACGGCACCCTTGCATGAAATTCTCCCTTACAGAAACACTCCCTTGGAACCGCTGGCTCCAGAGACGCGAGGAAGCAAAGCTTGGAAGCTGAGCGAAAAGGAAAGCAGCTCATCGAAATGGGGGCTGCACTCACTGTAAGTGGCAGAGGGAAAGGGCATGCTTGGAATTTGGGGGTTTTCAAGCGACTGAATCGGAGTCGGTGGCAGCAAATAAAGGCAGCTCCTGAACAGGGAGAGGGAGGAATTCAGCTCACATTGAAAGGTGAACATACACATGGTGTGGCCGGCGTTTGTTTCTGATGTCCATCGACATGGAAGAGATTTCCCATTGCCCACACAGATCCTTGGAGAGGTTAATAATGTTACGTTGTTAAATTGTGGGGCTGTAATGTTAAGAGACAGATCCTGACACCCCCCCTTCTTTTTTCTCCTGCTCCTTGCCTACCTACCCATTTTGGTCCTCCTTGTGGCCCAACCCATTTCTGATGGTGGCTCAACCGTCCTAAAACCAAAATTCCAAAAAGGGAAATTGGAGCACATTTCAGCAGGTCCTCGCTCCATGAATCCAATGAAGATCTTCAGATTTACTGTAGCACGTGCTGGAACACAACAAGTCTTGATTGCCTACGCTGTTACCAATTGAGTCCTAGCATAAAGCACCAAAAGTCTCCTCCCCACATGCTTTTGTTGAATGGTCTCTTTAAATCTGAAGGTTCATTATTGTTCCACAAGATGTGTATTTCTTTAAGGGCCAGAGCAAATAACGTGACCCAGTTTTACAGCTGAGAAGCAGTAGAGCAGGTGCTGTTAAGTTATGTTAATTAAGCTGTTGGGTATAGTATATAAAGAGCAGCACCTAGCTCTCTCTGTTCCCTGGTGGTTGGGTTGGTGGGTGGGTCATGCTTATTGATATATTATAACTAATGTAAATGGAGTTTTGGTTATTAAAACCTAGCTACAGTTATTTCAGAGACACGGGTGGCGCTGTGGGTTAAACCACAGAGCCTAGGACTTGCCGATCAGAAGGTCGGTGGTTCGAATCCCTGCGACAGGGTGAGCTCCCGTTGCTCGGTCCCTGCTCCTGCCCACCTAGCAGTTCGAAAGCACGTCAAAGTGCAAGTAGATAAATAGGTACCGCTCCAGCGGGAAGGTAAACGGCGTTTCCGTGTGCTGCTCTGGTTCGCCAGAAGCGGCTTAGTCATGCTGGCCACATGACCCGGAAGCTGTACGCCGGCTCCCTCGGCCAATAAAGCGAGATGAGCGCTGCAACCCCAGAGTCGGTCACGCCTGGACCTAATGGTCAGGGGTCCCCTTTTACCTTACAGTTATTTTGTGCTCCTTGTAATGTGTGGTCTCCCCAGCACGCCTTCTGCAGTGCAACTAGTCTGCAAATAGCCAACATCTTTTTCTTCCCTACAGGTATAGCAGGTTCTTCTCTTGGGCCTCCTCTCTCCAGACTGCCATCTGCAGGACCAGCAAGACTCTCTTCGTCTCCATCTTTGCGGTGGTGCTCCTTGCTGTTCTTTCCACCTTCCTCCTGGGCTTCTCCTTCCAGAGGCCGGCAGAAGGAGCCCCTGTCGGGACAGGAAATGCTTGGACATCCGTGCAGCAGCTGCTGTGGCCATATACCCGCCTCCAGCACCAAGCTCCACCTCCCGTATAATTCACTGGTGGGAGTTCAAGATGAGGTGCCTTTCGGACATCAAGATGGGGAGCCGTCCTGCCATGTGGTTTTCAGTGGGCAGGTGCAGAGGGGTAGATAATATTTCAAGCTCTCTGAACTTTCAACATCATCCAAGGTCCCCATGCAGCTTACAGATACAGCATCTCGATGTTTTTGGAGGCCCTGCCCTTGCAAGTTATTTCCTGATAATTCAGTTCAAAACGAAACACAGTTTGATGCTTTCTGGCACCTTCTGAATTTTTAAAAGTCCCTCTTCCCTCCCTCCCCCAAATTGTACCGAAGCTGCAAGATCTTAGGAAACATGTTTTAGGAAACACTTGGGAGTGAATATAGTTTGTCCACAAACAGCTTACAAAGTAAGGTATTTATTTTTTTTCTGGAGGAAAAAATGCATCTGAAATCTTGAACCTATCGCAAACGTCAAGCTCTTATTTTATTGACAGGAGTGTCTTCGACTCAATAAAGTTCTTAAGCGGTGCGTGGCTTCTCAAGAGTACGTTAGTAGCTTGGTAGAAAGCAGCAGCTGGTACACGACGTCAATGAATAGGTGGTGGGCCTGCCTAATTCTCTCCATTGCTTCTTCGCTGCCAAAGTCTTTGATCAGGTGGTAAAGGGTGGAGTGGAATTCCGTGTCCTCTGCTATGTTCTTTGAGAAGTTGTCGCTGTCCTCGGTGAGCTGGAGCCTCTGAGCTCTCTGCCCATTGAACATCAGGAGGGCCCAGTCTTTATCCCATACTGGCTCTTTTGAAAGGTGTTCACAGATCTACCAACAGGACAGCCAGGAGTTGTTATAGCCAATAACCTGATGGGCTTGGAAGTAGTAATCTTTGTTTGTTTAGAAAAATGGGGGGCTGGAGGGTAGCACCAAAATCTTCCTTTTTCAGAAGGGCTAACCTGTGGGACAGGATGCGGGTGGCGCTGTGGGTTAAACCACAGAGCCTAGGACTTGCCGATCAGAAGGTCGGCGGTTCGAATCCCCGCGACGGGGTGAGCTCCTGCTGCTCGGTCCCTGCTCCTGTCCATCTAGCAGTTCGAAAGCACATCAAAGTGCAAGTAGATAAATAGGTACCGCTCCGGCGGGAAGGTAAATGGTGTTTCCATGCGCTGCTCTGGTTCGCCAGAAGCGGCTTAGTCATGCTCACCACATGACCTGGAAGCTGTATGCCGGCTCCCTCGGCCAAAAAAGCGAAATGCGCGCTGCAACCCCAGAGTCAGCCCTGACTGGACCTAATGGTCAGGGGTCCCTTTACCTTTAACCTGTGGGACTCCAGCTCCCATTGGCCCCAGCCAGCATGGCCGACGGCTGGGGATGAGGGGGACTGCAGTCATCTGGAGGGGTTAGCCCTTGAGCTGGTGGTGTGTACAAGTCTGGTTTCAGTTGCTGAAGGCTGAAACAAGCTTTGCACACTCACTCTCTCTGCTAGGTTTCTGCACTGCAGTCCCCTCATCCCCACATTCTAGGCCAGGCATAGGCAAACTCAGCCCTCCAGATGTTTTGGGACTACAACTCCCATCATCCCCAGCTAACAGGACCAGTGGTCAGGGATGATAGGAACTGTAGTCCCAAAACATCTGGAGGGCCGAGTTTGCCTATGCCTGTTCTAGGCAATGTCCCTTTTGAACACTTTCTATGGACTGATAAGCTTCCTCCTCGTGTGAACCCCTTAACCATCATTTCCCTGCAAAGCATTTTATATAGCCTGGCATCTTCCTCATTAGTGCTAACCAACCTGAAAGTGCCTGGTTAATGTGAATTACAGCACTGATGCAGATATGTAATGCTATATAAAGGTAAAGGTACCCCTGACCATTAGGTCCAGTCATGGACGACTCTGGGGTTGCACGCTCATCTCGCTCTATAGGCCGAGGGAGCCGGCATTTGTCTGCAGACAGCTTCCAGGTCATGTGGCCAGCATGACTAAGCCGCTTCTGGCAAACCAGAGCAGTGCACGGAAATGCCGTTTACCTTCCCGCCGGAGCAGTACCTATTTATCTACTTGCACTTTGACATGCTTTTGAACTGCTAGGTTGGCAGGAGCTGGGACAGAGCAACGGGAGCTCACCCCATCACGGGGATTTGAACTGCCGACCTTCTGATCGGCAAGTCCTAGGCTCTGTGGTTTAGACCATAGCGCCACCCGCATCCCTCACATAATGCTATATAACCATGGTTTAAACCAGTGTTTCCCAGACTTGGGTTTCCAGATGTTCTTGGACTCCCATCACCCCTAGCAAGCAAGACCAGTAGTCAGGGATGATGGGAATTGTAGTCCAAAAGCAGCTGGAGACCCAAGTTTGGTTTGCTTAACCCTGTGTTTCCCAGAGTGCAAAGGGGAAGCCAGGCACCATTCTAATCCCTGGTGCAGGAATGGCACACTCACCATCAGCACTGGGTGTCTATGTCCAGATTCTGAGAGGGCAAAATGCCTCTACCAGGTGGTCTTCCCTGCCTGCCTTGCCCCCCCCCCCCGACCACCATCAATGGCTACCTAATTGCACAGGAGATGAGGGCAAAGCACATGAAAGCTGCCTGCTCCTGTTTGTAGAATGCAGGGAAGGAGCTTGAAAACAAAACCAAAGTAGCACAGCCCATACGTACCTTGAAGACCACATTTTCCTCTCCGCTCAGCAAGTTCCACTTGCTCCAGCTGAAGGCAAAGGAAGATGCGATGAGTGCCATTTGCTGGTAACTGGTGATTTCTGCTAAAAGTGTCTAAAAACAAGAAGATAGAAACAGAAGACTGAAACACCTCTCCACCTGAAAGCATTCAACATCGTCTCTCTTTAATGGAAGGTGGGATCTTGTGTTCTCGATGCCCCCTGAAATATACTCAGAGTCGCAAAGTGATTTCATGCTCTTTATTCAGCTCATAGTGGTGAGGAGGAATGAATCCATGTCCCCTCAAAGTATCTGCTTTATATACATTATTTACACAATGGGCTGCACATGATTGGTTAATTCTGGAATTCTACTGTAAGCCAATCAGGTTGTGGATTCACTTATATCTGGAGCATGATTGGGTGGTTCCTGCCAACCAATCATACTGCTGCATTGTTCTTGGACCAATCAGACTGCTACATTCTGAATCCTATTGTTCTAGGACCAATCAGACTGCTGCAATTTGGATCCTATTGTTCTAAGACTGCTGCAGTTTGGATCCTATTCAACTCAGTACATAACACCCCCAGATCAATAAAATAAATGTTGCCCATCTCTCTCAACATGAGGCACGCAAACACAAACCACCACCCTATGTTTACTTGTTATAACAGGGAACCAGGCAGAGGGCCTTCTTGGCAGTGGCACCCGCCCTGTGGAACACACTCCCACCAGATGTCAAAGAGAACAACTACCAGTCTTTTAGAAGACATCTGAAGGCAAACCTGTTTAGGGAAGCTTTTAACGTTTGATGCATTACTGTATTTTAATATTTTGTTGGAAGCCGCCCAGAGTGGCTGGGGAAGCCCAGCCAGATGGGCAGGGTATAAATAATAAATTATTATTATAACATGCAAAGACAGGCTCTGGCGGATTGAGCAGACAAGACCAATAGTGGGTCCAGCGGTCAAGAAGGCGGTTTCTGCACACGCTGTAGAAGGAAGTCAAGGGCAGATGGGGCTCTTCAACCTGGGAAGGTAGCCCGTCTAGGAGAAGGAAAACTCTGACCCTAAACCTCCACTGCCTTTTGGGATATCTTTGGGAGAAGGAAAGGCTCAGGAGAAAACCCTATACAAATCGTGAGTGGAGTCCCATCTGCCCTTGACAGTTGGAGACAGTTGGATGGTACACCAGCTTCCAACAATTCCTGCAGCCAGGCTGCTACTAAATATCTTGCTCTGCTTTCCTTTGGGTCACATCAGTGAGGCTGAGATGGGGGTCTTCTCATCTGGGCACCCAGGACTTCCATATACACTGCCTAGCCTTGCACCCCTGGGGAGGTCACTTCAGTTTGACTTCTCCCGTGGAGGTACACTCCATTGTCCCTTGAGACAGACAGATGCCAACAACATATAAAGTCAAGGAGGATGGGGCAGAGCTGCAGGAAGCTCTGGCCTTCCAGGTTTGGCTGGGCAACAATTCTCACCACCCTTGGGTAATGGAGCCATGCTGGCTCAGGCTGATGGGGCTACTCTATAAGACTCACTTTTTCCCTCCTAAGCAGTAAGGGGAAATGTGTGTGCGTCTTATGGAGCGAATGCAGGCTGCACAGCTATCCCAGAAGCCAGAACAGCAAGAGGGATTGCTGCTTTCACTGCGCAGCGATCCCTCTTGCTGTTCTGGCTTCTGGGATTCAGAATATTTTTTTTCTTGTTTTCCTCCTCCAAAAACTAGGTACGTCTTGTGGTCTGGTGCATCTTATAGAGCGAAAAATACAGCAAGCTCTGTATTCTAGCACAGAATATATTTAAATATGGGGGGGGGTTTTCAATGCAAATATTTCTCAATGTATTTTACCCTAAAATACACCCTTCAAAATGCATTTGGTTCATTTTTTGTAAAATCCATTTCAGAATCCATTCTGAACACGAATCAGCTCAGATTGCTTAAGAATGCTGAATGGGTGCAATTCTCCATCTGTAGTTGAGAGTCTGCATAATTTCCAATGATTAAAGGTAAAGGTAAAGGTAAAGGGACCCCTGACCATTAGGTCCAGTCATGACCGACTCTGGGATTGCGGCGCTCATCTCGCTTTATTAGCCAAGGGAGCTGGCGTACAGCTTCTGGGTCATATGGCCAGCATGACTAAGCCGCTTTTGGTGAACCAGAGCAGTGCACGGAAACGCCGTTTACCTTCCCGCCGGAGCGGTACCTATTTATTTACTTGCACTTTGATGTGCTTTTGAACTGCTAGGTTGGCAGGAGCAGGGACCAAGTAATGGGAGCTCACCCTGTCGTGGGGATTCGAACCGCCGACCTTCTGATCAGCAAGCCCTAGGCTCTGTGGTTTAACCCACAGCGATACTTTAGGCTAACGTGC